GGCCAGCTGGCTTGCGTTAAAGCGCTGGCTGAAAATAACTCTCATTGTCTGGGAGCTGCTACTGCAGCAGGGCTGGCTGTGGCCACCAAAGGGCTAAGGCAGCAGGAGCTGGTACCTCCCACCTTCTTGGGCTCTCGCCCTTTGGGAGCGGTGCCCAGCTGGCCACAGCTGTGCCTGCTGCCCACCAGCAGAGACATGTGGATGGCAGGCTGGGCCATTCCTAACACTCTGTCCTTTTGGTGGCTGGTAATGGGCCTTTGTGCCTTGTGTTGCCTGCTTTGCCATTGGCTCGGGGGCAGATTCGTTGGTTTGTGAGGGGGATCCTAGTAGGAACACAGGGTGGGAACCCAGTGTTACAGCTGCTCCTGTAGCAAAGTCCTGGACTCCCAAACTTGGTGCCCTCTCACCACTTTCCATCTCTGCTCCTCTGCCCATGGGCTGATCTGTGGATGCCAGAGAGGACTTGTGGCACCTGCAGCCAGGTGCCCAGCAGCATGTCGAGAAGCATGTGATGCCTTGTTTATCTGCAAAGCAGTCCTAGATTCTTCTCCCCAGGGCTTCCCATCGCCTGAGCTGAGCACAGGGCTGGGGCTACCACACTTGGGAGAAGTGTCCAGCCATAGAAAACTTGGTGGGAGGTGGTTTCAAGAGGGAAAACATTAATAAAACTACCACTCACTTTCTGTATTTGCTCAAAATATACAGCCCCCACTGGAGCTTCCCTAAACCCTCCGTGGTCCTTTTTCCAGGAACATTTCAGATGTTTCTTTCCCTGTTTCTCAAAGAAGTTGTGCCATTTTTGTCTCTGCTAAGATTTATCATGGCTGACTGGGACTAACAGAAATAGTTGGGAAATTTTGGTCGTTCCTATCTGTTTGTTGGGTTTTCCCCAGGCCTGGTCCAAGAAGACTGGCAGAGTAGGGGTGAGTCCCAGAGCAGGGTCTGTAGCTTTGAAGGAAACTCCAAACCCCACTGGCATTTCCCTTCCCCTGCAGTGGGAAGGAAATGAGGAGGGGCAAACTGGACGGGGGTGCAGAGCAGGAAAGGGAAGGGAATCTCTGCGACCAGCACTGCCACCTCCTCCATGGCTTCCCTGGGGCTGAGGGCTTGGGTGGAGAGTAAGGAAACCTCACTGGAGGGACTGGGAACCCCCAGAGCAGGGCAATCTGCCTGGCCTCACGCTGGCAGCAAACCAGAGCAGCCTTGCAGGAGAAGCATCAGACCCGCACCTTTTGGCTCCTTCCCGTTACAGGTTTTTATTGTTAGACTGCTTGCTGGTGCCCTGCGATTTAGGAATCAGCCCCAGAGTTGCTTCAGTTTGGGTTCATCTTCCCCCTTCTCTTCCCATCTCCTGTGTGGTTGTTTTGGCTGTGACTTGTCTCCCCCACTTCCTCCTTGGGGTCTCCCATCCCCCCAAGGGTAGTGGGACTTAGATTGCCTCCTACTCTGAGAGGAAGCTGGAGAGGGGTCAGTGGAGGGGAAAGGATTGCTCTGTAGTCAGAGTGTTGAGAAGCAGTTGCTGAAAGAGGGATCAAGGCAGAGAGAGACAGCCCAGAAGCGAGAGGAAGGGTCCCTGGGATGTCAGAACATTACACAGGAATTTTCAGGCGGAAGGAGAAGGGAACTGTGTTGAACACCCACAGTGTTCATACGTAAAATATTTATTATTTAATCCTCGTAAAACCCTGTGAAGTAGGGAGATTATCTCCAATTTATGGATGAGTTCACTGAGGTTCACTAACTCTGAAGAGCTCAAGTTGATCTTGGGCCCCCTGACTCCACCCACACCAGTGCTCTCGCCTTTCCCAGACCCTTTCTGTGCAGCAAGGGTCTCAACCAGGAGTTAGCAAGAACTCAGATTGGCTTCTGCCTTCTGAGAGCCCACAGTCTCTGTGGAACCACTGAGGAAAAATGTCAAGGAAACAAACCTTTGACTGAGACCGGAACCATGTCAGGTTGCTCCCTGGCTATACCCAGAACTCAGGAAATTGACCTTCCTAAGAAGCTAAGCAGAGCTTCCTCAGGACACGGGGGCCCTGCCGGACTCATGCACGTCATCAGGTGGAGGCGGAAGCCCTGACACCCTTGTCTGGCAGGAAGAGAACTATCCTGCCAGGCCCAGTCGTGCCCCCTTGGCAAGTGGCTCCCACGCACAGGTTTCTTGTGGGAGTGCTGGAACCTGGGGGACTTCCCCTTCCTCATCTCATCCCCCTAAAGAAGCAGAGAAGGCTGCAGCCACTATCCAGAGAGTGCCACCCAAAGCTCTAGGCAGGAGAATGTGGCCTGTGGTCAGATCTGCTTCACACTGGTGCCATCCATTCCATACTCTGGGGTCCACCTTTCCCAAGGATCTAGAGTTGGACCAGATCCCTGATGTACTTCTTCCATGCTTTAGGTAGGGTTCCCAAAGGGGGTGACTTTGCTCAGTCTTTGAAACCCAGAGGGGACCAAGCATTTTCTTACCAGTTCACCCGGTAGGGAAGTGTGAGCCACAGCACTGATAGTGGTGGCTGAGGGAGGAAGTTGGTATAGACAGGATGCAAAGTCTGCCACAATAGTGACAGGCTGCCCCTCCCCACTCCAGCAGCTTTCTTCCAGGGGAGACAACAGAAAACTATTTTCATGGCACAGACGGGAGAAATGGTCAGATGGCAGCAATGTGCACAGAGCCAGGACCAGTCCCGAGGACTGTTTCTGCTCAGTTCTGTCTTGGCTTCAGCTGGCCACAGTTAGGCTGGAGACCTGCTCTGGGCCTGCCTTCGACTGTTGGGGCCCTGTTTTGTTGAGGCCTCCTGCTTCCATCCTGCCATCCACACAGACATGCTGCCCAGTTCCAGAGAGAACATTCCAGGCTTGCATTTGTTCATCTTGCCATCCGTACCACATTGGTTGTAGGGAAAACTTGGTTAGCCCCTCTTTCCTATGGAAATTCAGGCAGATTCATGGGGCAGCAGAAAGCACGGGGAGCGGTTCGATGTGGTGGTCTTTTCCCTTCTTTTCTTATCTCACTTGCCCCACTTCTGTAGTCCTGAATTCTTCCGTTTGTAAACTCCAACCAGAGACCTCAACCCTACTTTCTTTTTTGAGCCATAGTGACCCTGTTTCTAGCCAGTAGCTGGGCCCAAATCTTGGAACTGGGAGCTCTTACCCATAGGTTTGTCATCACCTTACTCCCCGCTAGGTGCATGTTGGGAGTTGGAGACAGTAAGAATAGACACAGCCCTCTAGGAGCTAGATGAGCTTACAGGTGGTTTAATAGTGTGTGTGAGATAAGTACGTTAAATGGATAGTGTTGCAGAAATAAATGATGTTTAAGAATTTTCTTTTGGTTCCTTAGAAAGCGGAGGACCCCCTCCCAGGATTCTTTTGCTTCTGGAATAATGCAGGGCCTATGTGACTCCTCAGGGACCCTGGGTGCACATGATTCACGTCCCCAGAGATGAGGATGTCAAGGAGTGGGCAGGGGTAAGCCAAGTGGCATGCTTGGGTCACCAGGGAGTTAGAGCTGAACTTGGAACAGTAGGTAAAGGAGAGAAAGATGAGAGGAAGGCCTTCCAGGTGGCTGGCAGTGTGCTGGGGGAAGAGGCTGCATCTGTGGGAAGTCATGCAGGTTATCAGACAGCTGTGACACTTCGGGTGGGGGATCATATTTGATTCAGGAGTGGGGGGGGAGGCAGGTGTAGTGGTCCGATTAAAGTGTCAGAGGGCTAGGCATGGTGGCTCATGCCTGTAATCCTGGCACTCTGGGAGGCCGAGATGGGAGGATTGCTTGAGGTTAGGAGTTTGAGATCAGCCTGAGCAAGAGCGAGACCTCATCTCTACAAAAAATAGAAGAATTAGCCAGGTGTGGTGGTGCATGCCTGTAGTCCCAGCTACTCAGGAGGCTGAGGCAGGAGGATCGCTTCAGCCCAGGAGTTTGAGGTTGCAGTGAGCTACCGCTCAGTCACAGTACAGTGACACCACTGCACTCCAGCCCAGGCAACAGAGCGAGACTCTATCTCAAAAAAAAAAAAAAAAAAAGTGTCAGACTGCCGTTAGAGGCAAGGGCTGTGACCTGGAACAAAGGCAGCCAGACTGATGAGCAGACAGGCTTGGCTGGGTGGGGATAAAGGCGGGAAGGTGTCCTGGCATGGTAGCCATGGCGGGGCTGCATGGATGCCTTTGGCTTCACTCACTCACTTGCTCACACTTTATTTGTTATTCATTCACCAAACAGTAGTGAATAAAATAAAATGACTCCTGGTCTTGTCCTTCAGTGTCCTATGTCAGAGTGTTTCAACAAGGGGTCAGGACACTTTGCTGTGTCTTAATTAATTGGGAGGTGTGTTGTAAGTAATTTGCTACTAATAATTAAAGTCCTTGATTTTTGTGAATTTTTTCATAAAAAAATTTGAGCAGTTATCTTTATGCTGATGTCCATCTATCACTTGTATGCTGATTTGGGGAGGAGGGGTAGAGTTGCAGCATCTACAGAGGCTGTGGGTGGCTAAGGATTCACCCATGGAAATGTGTGGCACAGGAAAGTCATGGGGGAAAGGTGAATTGAAAAAAAATTGCTGCTTTAAACTGGTGGTTTTCAAATTTTTTGACCCATCTCATGTTAAGAAGTACATTTTATAGCATGACCTATGTGTATGACATATATGTGTATATGTACATAAAATATAAAAGAAACATGCTTCATGAAACATTTATATTTCATACTTGTGATGAATTCTGGTATTTTCTATTCTATTTTAATCTGCTCATGTCCATTTAAAATAAAGTTAATCTTGATACACTAAATTGAATTCACAACCTGTGGTTTGGAAAATGTTGCTCTACCAAACTCAACTGAATAGGAAGGCAGAACTGTCCCGCTTTTCCAAGCCTCCCTTCTCGGCAACAGAATGTCAGGTGAAGTCTGAGGGCCCGGGAGAGGGAAAGGTATGGGCATGTGGCCTTTCTCTCCTCCAGGTGGGTGGTGGTTTCAGCCCTGTTGACTCAGATTCTCTCCTCAGAGCTCCATGAACCTGCCTCCCGACAAGGCCCGGCTCCTGCGGCAGTATGACAACGAGAAGAAGTGGGATCTGATCTGTGACCAGGTACGGGGTTTGGGAAAGGGCAGAAAGGTGAGGAGTGTGTCTTGGGCTGGACAAGGCAGCAGGGCTGAAGGCATTGACTGCAGCCCTGAGTCCCTTGAGGAACCCTGGCCTGGACTTGGCCTCAGTCTGTGCTCACTTTCTGTTCCAAGAGGACTCTCATGACAGAGACAGAGCTGGTAGGCCACGTTCCCCTGTAGCTCCTGCCAAGCCCTGTCTTGATTTCTACCAGTGGGCAGCGGCATGAAGGTGGTTTGTGTAGGTCTGGAGTGTAGGGTCGGTCGGCTGTGGAGTTTGGTGGTTTTCCCAGCAGAGCCTGTGTCTGCCTTTCCCCAGTTAGGGCTGTGCCCGGCAGGGTATTCCAAAGGACCGTTCATCTGTTACTCTTCCCCAGACCTGGCACATAGCAGGGTGTTTCTCGTTACTACAGGCCTTTAGGATTGAGAAGCCCCAGTTCCTCTGTTCCCAGATCTCAGAACAGCCAAGAACCGGAAGCTCTCCCTGCATGGTAGTGTTTAGAGCTGGAGGAGAATAGAGATCGTTGCTCAGAATCGAGATCTTCTAACACCTACGACCTGGCTCTTTCCCCTGTACACATATGAAGATCACAAGTCATAAGTCTGTGAACTCAGACAGGCCTGTCTGCAGGGCTGGGAGAGTTGGCTTTTGCTTCCTTATCTCTTGAAAGGTATGGAAGTACCTGGCACAGAGTGTGGGCTGTGTGTGTACGCAGCACTTTGCCATGGAGGCTTTATCATGAACAATGTTATTCTTTCTTTTCAAGCCCTGAACAAAATCATAATAGCTAACGATTATTGAGTGCTTATTATGGACCAATACTGTACATATACTGAAATATCTCATTTCATCCTCGCAAAAACCCTCCGAGGAGGGCACTGTTGGATTTTATAGGTGAAGAATCCAGGGCTCAGCAACTTGCCTAACGCTGGTGAGTGATGGAGCCAGGGCGGGGCTCGGGCCAGCAGATGCCAAGTCTGTGCTAGCGGTTCTGTTCCGTGGCCTCCCCGGGGCACGCTGCTTGACCCGAGCTGGGATTTTGTTTCAGAGATCCTAGACCTAGTCCAAGTCCCTTCCTCTCCAGCTGAGACCCATGTCCTTGTGTTCTGCAGTAGGAGAGGCTGGTTAGCACCTGCTTGGGGTTTGGAGAATAGTAGCCCTTTGGTATTAAGGCTCTTTAATTGATAATCTCTCAGTCTTTTCTAGGTCACATAATTTCAGCTCTTTCTCAAACCTTTCTTTTTTTCTTTCATTTATTTTTAGGTTCTATCTTCTAACATTCTATCATTATACCATTCTCCTGGATCTTTTCCAGCCCCTCCACCCCCAGCTCTTCAGATAGCTTACTGGTGATGGCCCTTATAGGGCCAGAGTGCTTAGAGATTTTCCCTGAGTTTCTTAGTAAGTTGAAGGGATTGGGCCAACATAGAGAGGACCCGGTCTTATGCCTGTGTAGAAGGGGATTGAGGGATTGCCTTGCTGAAAGTAGCTGTCAGCATTTGAGGTTGCTTTGGATTGTTGGGGTTTGGGGCCTGGGCAAGAAGCAGAAAGTGTGTTTGCAGCCCTGAGCTGTGTCTATGCTGCAAAACCAGGCCAGTCCTGACTGCAGGGTTCAGGGCTGAGAAAGCTGGACTCTGTGAGGCCAAGCACCTCTCCCCTTGGCCGTTCTGATCCCTGTCCATCAGTTGGCCAGGCAGTGAGCAGCCTTTCCCAACCATATCTTTATTTTGGGTACTGTTCACAGATCTGTAATCCCTGCATCTTCTTAGCAAGCAGCAGGCCCTTAAAATAACTTTTGACATAGAAAAATATTTTAGGCTCAGGGAGCACTAATTGGAGGAGAAGATGTCAACAGATGGGAAACACCTGGGGATAATATGTCATAGAAGGGTTTGGGTGATGTTTAGAGCCTGGTGACAACTTTGGGAGGCTGTCCCCTCCCACTGAACACTATGAGTGCCCCACTTCTCAGGGTAGTCGTCGGGTATCTGGGCGTGTATGTGTGTACACGTATGCATGTTTCCCTTGCAGGAACGATTCCAGGTGAAGAATCCTCCCCACACTTACATCCAGAAACTCCAGAGCTTCTTGGACCCCAGTGTAACTCGGAAGGTGAAGTATGGGGCAGAGAGGCCCCGTCTTGCTGCCCTCAATAGTCCTGTGGGGATTGGGAGCAACCTTTGACTTGTGGCTCAGAATCTGTTTCTGAGCAATGGGAGTTGCGTTTCTGGGTTCTGCGGCCAGGGGCCCGGAGTGGCTGGCCAGTGACTGAGGGGGAGTCTGTAACTGCTCTCTTGTATCCCTTCCTTTTCCTTTTCTACCCTTTTTGTTTGTACTGTAAAGTTGGATTGGGGGCCCTCCATCAGTGACAGAAAATTCCATGTTTACAGAAGTTCAGGAGGAGAGTGCAGGAGTCAACCAAAGTACTAAGAGAGCTGGAGATCTCACTTCGCACCAACCACATTGGGTGAGTTGGATCTGGCCACTGAGGCCTCCTAACCTGGCCCCGGGTGGTTGGTGGCTGTACAGGATCTGGTGTCTTCTGAGGATGGCTTGTCCTTCATGCTCCCTGCCACAGGGCAGAGTTGCCTCTTGAATGGCTTCTGGCTTTCCAGAGCTTCAGACTGTTCCTTTTCTGGCTTTTCCTCCCTCTCAGCCCTGCCAGCTGCTGACTGGATGCTTCTGGCAAGCCGGGGGCCTCTCGTGGGGTCCTCAGCCTGTGGCTTTGAGTGGGAGACATTCCCACAGCAGCTGAGACTGGAGTCTGCCTGTGGCCTGGTGCTAGGCCAAGCGAGGCCCAGAGAAGGCGGGGGCGGGGAGGGCAACATACAGCAACTGAGACCTCGTTCCTATTTGGTAACTTTGTGGACTTTTTGGTGCCCAGGGCATTATTTGCTTGTTTGAGAAATGACAATCTTAGTTCATGAGCAGAAGCAGCTTCCTGAAATACCAAGAAAGAAGATGCGAGGCAGAAGGGCAGGAGCTGAACGTTTTCTGGATTCACAGGCTGGTGTTGCCAACCCATCGACAGGGCCCCTAGGAGCTGTGTCTTTCTTTCCAATCTCTGCCTGTGGAACCAGGAACTACTGAACAGGCAGAGGGCTAATGGCGTGAGGTACAGCAAAAGAGGGCAGTGGCCTTAGTTTTATGAAACCATAACCAGCAAGGGTACGTGTAGTGAAAGTGAGAGAGAGAGAGAAAGAGCGTGTGTGTGTGTGCGTGCACACGCACGTGTACACATGCAGAGAGGACAGTGAGGGACACCTGACGTAGAACTGCAGACAGGATCATGGACCTGGCAGGGGCCTGGCATGCATGTCAAGCTTACAGGAGTGAGGAGCGGAGCCCGGGCTGGGGTGGGGAGTTCCTGGTCTTCCTGAGAGTAGGGTGAAAAGAGCCAAATGACATATCAGCCTTTCCCCTCCTGTCACAGCAGCCACCTACTTGTCCACCCCCAGGGTGAGCCTGCCTGGAGCTGTTTAGAGGGAAGGGACACCGGCATGTAGCCAGCTGCGGCAGCAGTCACAAGGGAAATGGCATAGGAGAGAACAGGAAAGGGATGGTTCCTGGCCTTGGGAGTTGTGCTCTGGTGGCTTCCATATCTCATCTGTGAACCAGACATTGCAAGCCAAGCCTCTGGGAAAGGTGTGGTCAAGCCCCCACCTTTGTATGGTAAATCCTTCATGGAAGGACAAACTGGCAGAGGCTTCTCAGTTGCCCTGCGTGTGAGGGCAAGAGTGACGCCGATGGCAGCCCCAAGCACCACCTGCCACCCCGTGTTCCTCCACAGAGCCCTTCTTTTCCTTTCAGCCCTTCTGTCTTCTGCCTTAAGTCCTGCTGTAGTCGGGGTGAGGATGAGGTCTGCTCTTCTTGGGAGACAGCCACAGAGCAGTGTGTGACTGTCCCTTCTGCCTGCCCCCTCTACCTGCTGCCTGCCCCTCTGGCTGCTAGCCAGGAGCTAGGGCCAGAGCAGCATGGTTCCCAGGCCCAGGGCCTCTTTGCAGCTGGCACACAAGTTAGAGGTCTGAACCTGGTCCTTGGTTCCCAGGGGATAGCTTAGTGCCTGGCATTTTAGGAAGCGCTGCCATCTAAACTGAGGCTTCTCTGGGTAGAGTTATGTGCAAGGGCCAGCGTCCTTCCTGGATCTCCGAGCAGGAAGAGTTTGTCAGACTGTCAGGCTGGCGTGTGGTGCTTCAGGGTGATAGGAACCCAGGGCAAGGTGGGGAGTGGAGTGTCCTGTGTTGGTCATAACCAGGGCCCGCAGAAGCTGGGTGTGCAGGGGCAGCAGACAGGAGCTCAGGCTCTGGAGTGGGGCGGGCTGGGAAGTGGGATTCCAGAGCCTCTCCAGCTCCTCCTCTCTCCCTGATTTGTATTGGCTTCTCCGCCTTGCCTAAGTGCCCTTTAACCTCTCCTCAAAGTGTCAAGATCCTGAAATAGCAGTACAGACTCAGACAGGAAATGAGAAGGGGGTGGGGAGCTGGAGAGCAGACAGACAGGAAACAGGAGGCCTGTCGGGCCCCCAGAGAGGAAGCTAACTTCAGGCAGCTCCAGTGTCAGTCAGCTTCAGCCAAAGCCTGCTGCCAAATCTCAGCCGGGCCTGTGCTCTGGCCCCCACGTCCCTCCGTAGCTTGGGGTGTGGCCGGCCGACATGGTGCTGGTTTTCTAGCTGTGGGAGCAGCTGCCCTGCAGGGCAGTTTGGGCACAGCTGGCCTGTAAAGACCCCCCAACATTCAGAAGGAGTAGAGCACTCTGGAGAGTAAGGGTTTCATACTGAGGGTTTTCCCTCTCCTGTGGAACGAGCCTGTCATGTAACAGTCCCCTAGATTCGCTCTTGAGTTTCATTCCAGGGATATGTCAGCCCAAAAGAATTGAAGGCAGAAGGGTGAAAATGCCCTGACATTGTCCTTGGGGGCCTTCTCGTCTGCCTTCCTGCCTTCCTGACTGAGGGGCCCAAGTCCTCAGTCTGGCTGCAAGTGGTCACAGCCATTCTGGAGTTCCTTGAGTTTCTGATTGTTCCCCAAGCCTGTTCCAGTTCTACTGAACTTACTCTGACTAAACACAGAGCTCCTATACATCCCTGTTTGCTCACTGCTTCCCCAAACTCCTTCCCTGGGCATGGTGGAGAGCCCTTTGGCCCAGTGTGCCTCTATCCCAGAGCTGTCTTTGACCCTTCCTGCCTGTATCTAGGCTGAGACGTCAGTCAAGCACGACTCTGCACGTGGGCCTGTGGTGAATGTTCTTGATACCTCCCCAATTCTTCCAGCAAACACTGAGCACAGGCAATGCGGGGGGTACAGAAGATGACTGAGCCGGGGCACTGGCCCGTAAGGAGTGAGTGCCTGAAAGCTCGTTTGGCTGGAGCACTTTCTAGATGAAGTGCGAGGGATTTTGGAAGGGCCTGTACTTTCTCCATCCCTGGCTCCCCTGCCTAGGGGACATCTAGGCCGGTGATGTGACCATAAATGGATCTCTCATGTGTTTTGATCTTCAGAATTTTCCTAGCCTGGTGCTAGGTTCCAGAAGGATACAGGAGAAATTGGTGTTGGGTCAGAGACCCATCACCCTCCTCACCCTTGAGCCACTCTAGCAGATCCCCTTCACTGGGTTTCCTTTATCTGCAGGTGGGTGCGGGAGTTTCTGAATGATGAAAACAAAGGCCTGGATGTGCTGGTGGATTACCTGTCCTTTGCCCAGTGTTCTGTCATGTGAGTATCACCCTGGGGCTAAGGCTGGCGGCCAGTTGGTGAGTTCCACTCTGCTTTGATGAGGAGGGGTAAGAGTTCAACAGTGAAGATGGAAATGGGAATTGCAGAATGGGAGGGAGGAGCCAGGCAGCAGTGTGAAAGAGGACAGGCAGCCATGGGGGTGTCCAGGGACCAGTGAAGAGTGCCTGTTGGCTGGAGTAGAAGGTGCATTTGGGGAGCAAGAAGAGAGAGCTTTGGAAAGGTAGCTTGGAATCAGAACCCAGAGTATCCAAATGCCAGGCTGCAAGCAATCCAAGGAAATGGTCTGGCTTCTGGGAGAGATGCCTTGATGGGATTCATTGATCTTTGCAAAACTGAGTCTTCAAGAAGCAACTTTGGGTCTCCAGATGTGAGAGGGTTGCCCCTGGTCATTATTGAAGAACCCAGAAGAAGTGAACATGACCTTTTGACCTGAACAGAAAAATGAAGCATTGAGGAGACTTTTTCAAGCAGTCTGGGGGCTTGGAGGCATCCGGAAATGGGTTAGCACAGGAAAGACAGCATGGTGTCGTGGAAGGAGTGAGGGCTTTTGAGTCATACAGAACTGGATTTGGGTCTCAGTTCTGTCATTACTGTCTGACCTCAAGCAAGTTTATGTCGTCTTCTATGAAGGGCGATCCACATTCCAGGGTTGTTGTAAGGATTAGATGATGATGTGTGTTAAAGCACCCTAATATGTTTTGAACATTCTAGGTCTATACTGTGGTAGCAGCTTTATGGTTAATTTTATTATTTTTCAAGGTGGTTTACCCTACCATAATTACCTGAATACATGGAAAGAGGAATTATAATGATAACAAACATGGTGACCAACACATTCAGACTGATGCCCTAGGAAGGCCAGTCTTCCTGGTGTGCCCGTGGTTTTCCTAGTTTCCCCAGCATCCTCAGAAATCCCTCAGTCCTGAGGCTTGGCCCTAACCTAGACTCCACTGTTCCTATTACTGTCTTGCCCCCTTAGCCATTGTGCTCTGTCTAGCAGGTCTTGAGTGTCATCTCCTTTGGAGTCTGAACTAATGCCTTTCCTGTGTTTGGCTTCTCTGTCACCTTTTCCGGGTCATCTTCTTTTAAAACCAAGAGTGGCCCACTCCCCATTCTTTCCCTGTAGAAATCATACCCAGTGATCCTCCTAGCCCTTAAAAAACCACTCTTTTTATAGAAAGAAATGAAAAACATTTGCTGAAGTGTTTTTTTTTAAATTCAGAGCTTTTATACTAAAAAGATGGAGATCGTTTTTTCCAAATAAGCCTATCTCTCTTATTTGAAAAACAAACAAATCCCAGCTGCTCTAAACCAAGAATACACTGGAACCTCAGTATTGTAGTGTCCATGGCAGTACCGTTGACTGTTTTAAAAAGAAAGACTTTGGGAGGAAGAGAGAGAATGTGTGTTTGGGAAGGGTTGAGAAGAAGAGGGTGAGGCCAAATAGAGTTTGAGTGAAGGCATTTATTTGTAAACTGCCTACACCAGTGCTAGGTGATACAGTGCTATTATTGATGGAGGGAAGCCACCAGCAAGCTGTTTCCCTATGAGGAAGACTGCTCTAAGGTCTATAGGAGAGCCCATTAAACACCCCCCGATCGTCAACACTGCACTGCCTGCTCCCACTTCCTTCGGAACATGCTGGCATCTATGGATATCCCTTCATATTCCAGAAAGCCTCAGGCTCTGTGCCTTTGACCCTGGGGCTGTGCAAGTCTGAGCTCATTGGGGGAGAAGGGCCTGTGGCAGATGCTCCCTCAGTCCTTAGTGACCTACATGGGGGAAGAGGGCAGGACAGGAGAAGGGGACTGTTTCTCAGAGGGGTGTATCCTGAAGCGGGGATGTGTAAGAGAAGTCCCTGTGGGTTTGTGACCTCAGCTGTCCTCCTTGCCCTGGCCACAATCACAAACTGCTAGTGGTGGGAGACATCTGGTTCCAGAAGCAGTAAGTGAGAAACAGAGAAACCATCCCAACTCCTATAGGGGCTATACTGCAGGACCCCAGTCCACAATCTAAACCTGCGATGTCTTCCCCCAGGGAAGCCCAATGAGCATCTAGACCTAAAAAATCTAGAAAGCTCAAGTAGCCAGAACCATAGAGAACCTGGTCATGAAAACCCAGTGCTAGGACAGGGCAGTGTGGTGCCCCTCCTAAACATCAAGGACTATCCCACGCTGGGTTTGCCAGGACCCCACCTCTCCCTTCTGTTCAGTCCTGCCCAACCCAGAGCCAACTGGGCTCCCTCAGGGCACTGAGAGGCCATTTGGCCGCTGCTGTTTGCCAGCTAGCAAGACCTGCAGTTGTCCTGTTCCCTACCACTCCCTCTGAGGGGCAGCCTTCGCAGGGAGCCACAGCTTCTTGGAGATGTCCCATCAAGGCTTGGAGTATGCAAAGACTACCAGCTCCCCAGCTGTTTGGGGTAGCCATTCCTCCTGGAGTTGCCTGGCCAGTGGGGAGCAGTGGAGTTGGCCTCTGTCAGCGTCCCATCTCCTCAGATCCGCCTCCTGGTTGCTGCCTGTGCCTACTCTGCCCCTGTTCCATGTCGGTGGCTCTCCCGACCAGGATCGGGTCTCTGCTGCCCAGCTCTGCTTTCTGTCCTTGCTGCCCTTGCTTCTTGTTGCCCTAGAGGCCTGAAGGGTAGGGGCAGGCTCACCTGGTGGGGGCTTGGCACTGAATTTCTCCTATGTATGTGCCTCTGTGTGCGCACGTGTGTCCTTTCGTGCTCCAGGTTTGACTTTGAGGGTCTGGAGAGTGGTGACGATGGTGCATTTGACAAGCTCCGGTCCTGGAGCAGGTCAATCGAGGACCTGCAGCCGCCCAGTGCCCTGTCGGCCCCCTTCACCAACAGCCTCGCTCGCTCTGCGCGCCAGTCTGTGCTCCGGTATGTGTGCTCTCGCTCGCCCGCCTGTCCCCAGCCCCCGCCCCGTCTCCCGTCTCAGTACAGCGGTGAGTGCTCATGCTCCTCCCTCCACTCTCGCTTCCAGGCTCAGCTCTCTTGCCCTCTGCCTGCCAGTCTGTCTCTGGTCTGTCCTCTCTGTCTCCTTGACTCTGCCCAGCAGTCTGTCCTGGGTAAGTACACGGTCTTCGGCTGTGCCCACCCCCACCTGGGGTTCTGGCTGTCCCGGCTCCTCACCCCTCTCTGGGGCCCTTCCACTCCTCACTCTCGCTCTGCCATTCCTCCCGGGCCTCTCAAGCAGGGCACATCTCACACAGGTCCTTGGCCTTTGTTCTTCACCGGGTGGTCCAGCTCCTGCCCTCATTCTCTCTCCCTCTGGCTCTTCACTCTGCCCCGCCAGCTGCTCGGAGACCAGCTCCCCCAGCGTGCTTGCCCCTCCCCCTCCCCTTGCTTTTTCCTTCCAACCATTTCTATCCAAGACTGCAGCATGTTCATTTGTGTGCAGTGTCTTAAGAGCCACCCTATCTAGAGGTAGGCGGATGAACCGGATGACTTCTCAGAGACCCTTCCTCCTCAAGGCTTTCCTTTGGGTCTTGTGGCCCTTTCCTTGGTCTCTGTCTCTCATGGCCATGCTTTTCATTCAGTCTCCTTTGGGTTCTGTCCCTTGGACATTGTTCATCGTTCTAGTCATGCATGGGCAGATCTCATAATCACTTCTTCCTCTTTTCATGAAACATCATTGAGAGGGTGGAGGGGCAGTGCAAAGCCAGATGTAGCCCCCTGGCCTTCTTAGAGCCTGTGGGGATGTGCTCTGCCTTTTCGGGGACAGAAGTGGGATGAGAGCCAAGATGCTCCTGCCCCACAGATTGTGCAGAAGGTGCAGCAGCTGGAAGTGGAAAGAGGGAAGGCTGAGATGAACACCTTTCTGGAGCCATCTGGAGAAGTGGGAAGGCCTATACAACTACTGTTGTATTTTGAAGGATCTCTAGGGTTAGCACGGTTTGGGCACTAGGTATAAAGCTGGGATCCTGGGTAGTTGCTGACAAAGGCCTGTTCCAGGGAGGTGAAAACAGGCTGACCACCCTGCCTCCTGCACCCTGTCTCTCTTGGCTATTGGTACAAGGTTCTCTTTCCTCCTTTTTTGCTGCTGCTAAGGGGCAGCTTGCTGTCTGGGTGATGGTGAGCACTCCTAGACACTGCACCAGCAGCCCCAGCTCCCACCTGACTGCCTGGCCCGTCTCCCCCAGGTATAGCACTCTCCCTGGGCGCAGGGCCCTGAAGAACTCCCGCCTGGTGAGTCAGAAGGATGACGTCCACGTCTGTATCCTTTGTCTCAGAGCCATCATGAACTATCAGGTAAGGGGCGGCGCTAGCCATGGGTGTTCTACCTCTTCTGCCACATCTGCTGAAGAGCAGAGCTAGGAGGGCAGCAGCTTGTCAGAGACAGATTTGCTGGTGGGCCTGCAGTCAGGGTTGGCTGGGCGCTCCCTTCTCCACCATCAAGGTCCCCTTCTTCTGTCCTTTCCCTTGTAGTACGGATTCAACCTGGTCATGTCCCACCCCCATGCTGTCAATGAGATTGCACTCAGCCTCAACAACAAGAATCCAAGGTGCGTTCCTTCCTTCCCGTTCCTCCCGACTCTGCTCAGGGCTCTGGAGATACGGGCTCCCCATGTCCCTGACAAGAAATCCTGCCTGGATTTGGGTCCTGTCAGAGCCTTGCTTTGGCCCCCTCACCTCTGCTGGAGGAGAAATGCTCCTGGCTTCCCTTGTCTGCACAGCTCAGTGGGGGAGCAAGCCTGCCTGCTCCTGCCTTTTTCCCCAAACCCACCCTCCCCTACCATTGAGGCCATCTCCACTCTCCAAAGCTACTCCCCTGTCGTGGGAGTGAGCTGTGCGGTTGTCATCATGGGGAGCCAGAGTGTTATCTTCCTTCTTCACCCCTTAGGACCAAAGCCCTTGTCTTGGAGCTCCTGGCAGCTGTGTGTTTGGTGCGGGGAGGTCACGAAATCATCCTTGCTGCCTTTGACAATTTCAAAGAGGTCAGTCTGCTGTCTTCACGTGTGTGTATGTATGTGTTGGGGGAGAGACTGGGGAGCCAGGTAGGTAAGCACCATTTCCCATGGTCTCCAGTGATGTTTAACATCCCAGTGCTTGGCTAAGCAGCCTCCCCCATCCCTCATTTTTTTTTTTTTTTTTTTTTAAGAGACAGGATCTTGCTCTGTCACCCAGGTTAGAATACAGTGGTATAATCATAGCTCACTATAACATCAAACTCCTAGGTTAAGCAATTCTCCCACCTTAGCCTCCCGAGTAGCTAGGACTACAGGCATGCCACCACACCTGGATGGTATTTTATTCTTTGTATAGATGTGTCTTGCTGTGTTGCCCAGGCTGGTCTCAAACTCCTGGCCTCCAGCAGTCCTCCTTCCTCAGCCCCTCCAAAGTCCTAGGATTACAGGCATGACCCAGTGTGCACCTCCCCCACCCAATTGTCACAGTTTTTAAAAGCAAAACCAGAACTTCAGTCTTACTAGATTTTGTGATCTTGTGCTGGGAAACCTCCGACTGGCCAGCTATAGTCTGAGATAGCCGAGGGCTACAGTCCAGTGGTCCTAATCTGGTCATGCATCAGAATCACCTGCCTGAGGAGCTTCTTGCAAGTACAGATCCCTGTGTCCCATCCTGGACCCACTGCAGGGCTGGGTGTCTATACTTGAAGAGACTCCCCAGGTGGGAGTAGGATGCGATGAGCCCACTAGTAGAACCCAAAGCAGATGTGTTTGCAGTGGGAGAAGGTGTGCAAGGATGTTTCCTGGGTTGTTGGCTGTTATTGGTAAGGGGAAAGGTAGCTCCTATGTGGAATTTCCCCAGCCTCTGGGCCTGGCTCTGGAACCTCTATCTGCTTGAATAGGATTCTTCGACATCCAGCCACAGCTGCTGGTCCCACCCCTTCCTCTTCTTTGGACCTCTTCCCTGGCGTCCATTGTTCAAGCCAGGAAATGGCGCTTCCTCCGTGAAGCCCAGAGGCTCACAAGAGCCTCTGGACCCCTCTCAGAGAGGGCTTTCCTGCACACTGGCCCCTCCCCTACGTCCCCACTAGGACCTCAGCCTCCTGCCTCAGCCAGGACCTGCCTCCCTTCCTCCTTCCTTCCCTCCTTCCTTCAGTAACTTAGAAGCATCAGATCCCTGTGTTTCTTGGCCTATGCCCAGAGGTACCTAAAGGCCGGCCTAAGGGCACAGGCTTTACTGAGTTCCCTCAGCCAGTGGTGGGAGCCAGAGACCCCGAACCAGATTTCAGGTCCCAGGTTTTCTTTTATAGTGTCCAGAATGGCCCATTTTATAGATAGAGTTGTGATTAAACTTTGTCTGAACCAGTGCTTTGCTGTGACATTCCTGGGATTCAGAGGCTTGAGTTCTGCATGGGGCAGATCTTTTCACTGAGAAAGTTTGCTCATACAGGTGTGCAAGGAGCTACACCGCTTTGAGAAGCTGATGGAGTATTTCCGAAATGAGGACAGCAACATCGACTTCATGGTGAGGAACTGAGCCTGGGTCAGGCACACACCCAGCAGTGCTGTGCCCTACTCAAGAACAGGGGCCAGGCCAACAGCATATCTTTTTGTTGTTCTTGTTGTTTTGAGACAGAGTTTCTCTCTGTTGCCCAGGCTAGAGTGCCATAGCATCAGCCTAGCTCACTTTAACCTCAAACTCCTGGGCTCAACCAATCCTCCTACCTCAGCCTCCTGAGTAGCTGGGACTACAGGCGTGTGCCACAATGCCAGGCTAATTTTCCTATTTTTAATAGAGAGGGCATCTCGCTCTTGCTCAGGCTAGTCTCGAACTCCTGGCCTCAAGTGATCCTCCCGCCTCAGCCTCCCAGAGTGCTAGGATTACAGGCATGAGCCACCACGCTTGGCCCCAACAGCTTATCTTGATGTTCCATGTGGAATCCAGAATGATTCTCTCTACTCATAAATGCTCCTTGTCCACCCACACACCCCAGAGAGCTCTTAGAAACTTCAGGACAATGTCATTTCTGTATCTCAGATCTAACTTCTTCTTTTCTGAGCACCTTTTGTCCTTGATTTCGATCCTATTTGAACTGCCTTCTGTTTCCTAAGCTCTTCCTCTAACTTCTCTTCCCCTCAGTCCAGTGTCTGCAGCTAGGTCGGGTTGTCTCAAGAAATACCTGCTGAGGTACAAAGGAAATCGGATCGCTGTGTCTTCATTTACATCTGTTTTTCATGTAATTTACTTGTCTTTATACGCTGAATGTGAAATTTGACCTTTTTTGAAGTTAAAACACTCTTATTACCCCATAAAGACTTAACTTTTTTTTTTGAGACAGGGTCTTGCTCTGTCGCCCAGGCTAGAGTACAGTGGCATCATCATAGCTCACTGTAACCTCAAACTCCTGAGCTCAAGTGATCCTCCCACCTTGGCCTCCCAGAGTGCTAGGATTACAGGCATGAGCCACCACACCTGGCTAATTTTTCAATTTTTTGTAGAGACAGGGTCTTGCTATGTTGCTCAGGCTGGTCTTGAACTCCTGGGCTCAAGCCATCCTCCCGCACTGGCCTCCCGAGGTGCTAGGATTACAGGTGTGAGCCACCACACCTGGCCTTAAACTTAACTTTTTTATTCACTCCTTTTGATTATCCAGCTGATGATAATGTTCTAACAGCCGCCTATCCTCCCTGTGTCTTGCTCTGCTTTCTGTCTCTGCCTCGCTGGGCTGCTTCTCCTCCAGGTGGCCTGCATGCAGTTCATCAACATTGTGGTGCACTCCGTGGAGGACATGAACTTCCGAGTCCACCTGCAGTATGAGTTTACCAAGCTGGGTCTAGAGGAGTTCCTTCAGGTGAGCTGTTTGGGTGGATGAGGCGCTTTGGGGTAGAGGACCAGCTTAGCCATATCACAAAGGGTTTTTCTTTCACAAGTGCCTAGTCCTTGATGCTTCTGGAACCCTGCTTGTCTTCTGTGGCTTGATACTCAGGACCCCTTGCAGATGACTCCCCAGTCAGGCACCTCCAGGAGCAGGAAGTCCTTGGGTTTAACGCTCTAGGAAGTGATAGTGAAGGGTGAAGAGGACTAAATTTATCTCAGGAGGTTCCCCTGATCCTGTGCCTGCTTCCCCAGTTACCACTGTCTTTGCTCTTCCCCCAGAAGTCAAGGCACACAGAGAGCGAGAAGCTGCAGGTGCAGATTCAGGCATACCTGGACAACGTGTTTGACGTGGGGGGTTTGTTGGAGGATGCTGAGACCAAGAATGTAGCCCTGGAGAAGGTGGAGGAACTGGAGGAGCATGTGTCCCATGTAGGTGGTTCTCCTTGCCTGCCAGAGCCACTGGTGAGGGTAGGGGAAGATGGGGATGTCTGAATTCCAGGAATCCTGAGCTGACCCACTTACCTCCAGATTGAGCCCTGGGGAGACGTTAGCTCCAACCGGGGCTCTCTAGAGCATACTCTGGCTGGAGCTACTGAATCATCCACCGATTAGAACACACATTGACCTCCAGGGCTGGCATGACATGCATGGCCTTGGGCTTGAGAAAGTCAGAATGTGGCCATTTGCCTTGTATCTGTTGCTGTTTCACATGATATCAGAGCCCGGGCCTGTGAGTGGGATGTAGGGGAGCCTGACCTGACCACGCTGCTTTTGGGGCCCTGCATGGGGATGTTGGGCCCAGGTCATGTCTGGGGTTCAGGCTGTGCTGGGTGCCCAGGCCTTAGGGCCAGCCCCAAGCCTGCCCTTCTTGTCCTGCAGCTCACGGAGAAACTTCTGGACCTAGAGAATGAGAACATGATGCGGGTGGCGGAGCTAGAGAAGCAGCTCCTGCAGCGGGAGAAGGAACTAGAGAGCATCAAGGTGCGTGTGCTCTGGGGAAGGCAGTCCCTGGGCTCCAGGGCCTTGGGGTCTTGCTTTTATTTCTTCAGTCATGTCAAGTCCTCTAAGATTCAGATCTTGATTCACCCTTTAGGCTTTCAGATGATGATGATTTTACCCCATTTTTTACTTGGAGAGGGAAGCTGAAGCCAGAGTGAGCCAGAAATACCCAGAAAAGGGTGGGAGCAGATGGGGCCCTCACGGGCCCCTCTGGAGTCCCAGTCCAGGCTCCTCCCGCAGCCCACACTATTGGTTTTGTGCCCCTGCACCTCCACGTGCTTCCCCCAGCCGTGCCTCCCAAGCAGTCAGAGTAACGCAGGCGCTCTGCTGATTAGGATGTCCACCAGGTTTCCTAATTGAGCGAGCAGGGGCTCCTCATAGTTCAGTCTCTTCTCTGCCTTCTAATCTAACTCTTTGTTAGTGATAAAGTTGTGCTCCGACCCTACCTTTTCTTCCAGATTATAATGTATGCTAGCTCTGTGGAGCTCAGTATCTATCTGCCTAGCCCCTGCTAACCACTGTATGGGAAGCTGCGGAGGATACAGAGATGAGTGAGACAGGGTCTTGTCCATAGGGTCTTGTCCAGTTGAGCAATCATACAAGGCCAAACAAAAAAGCAAAATGAAGCCCAAAGGGCTATGGAGACAGCAGCTGTGTCAGACTGACAGTGGGTCAAGGCGAGTTTCACAGGGGCAACCTTTTCTCTGGCCTTGAGGGGCCTGTGCAGTGAGAATAGGCTGGAGCAGAGAGGAAGACACTCCAGGGTGCCAGAGAAGCAGGCCGGTTCTTCTGTTTGCCTCTGGTTCTGCTGCGTTGCAGCTTCCCCGTCCCCCTGACGTGGATTTCTGCCACTCTGAGCACCCTAATGGAGAGGATCCTTGGGTAGGACTTCTCAGTCCTAGGGGCAGTGACTACGGTGCCTTTAGCCCACTCTCCCCTTAATGGTGTTGTTTGCCCACAGGAGACATATGAGAACACGAACCACCAGGTGCACACCCTGAGGAGACTTATTAAAGAGAAGGAGGAGGCTTTCCAGCGCCGATGCCGCTTAGAGCCAAGTGCCCGGGGCCTGGAGTCCATGGGCAGTGAGGCCTTGGCCAGAGTAGGCCCCACGGAGCTGAGTGAGGGCATGCCACCCTCCGACCTGGACATCCTGGCTCCAGACCCAACCCCGGAGGAGGTCCTGCCTCTGCCTCCACCACCGGCTCCTCCCTTGCCCCCTCCACCTCCCCCATTACCAGGTAACCACGACTCCTATGGCCCCTGGGGGCTGGCAGGGGCAGTTTCACTGTGGGGACTAAAACCCTAGTCAGCAGTGTCTTCCTTAGAGAGAAGCTGGGACTATGGCATCATTTGAGGGCTGGAAGGATATAAAATCAGGGTCAGAGAGGGCTGAGGGAGGGCTAGAATCTGAGGGAGGCAAAAGTTACTAGCAAAGGGGTGCCCAAGGGCAAATGTGGACCTGTTTTAAGGATCATAAAGATTCCTTTGAAGACAGCCAAGGAGAAGGCTTAGACTATAGCAGGAAAGACTGGGTCAGAGACTAGCAAGAATTGCCCTGTCAAAGTTAGGCTTCCTGGGAGCAGCTTGAGCAGAGTTCTTAGAGCCTCCTTCTCTGAGAGTCTTTAAGGACTAGATTAGGGGGATAGGGGGTGGGTGCAGAGAGGAGGGCAGCCTGTGAAGTCTCTTGACCCCTTGGTCACTGTGCCATTTCTTCCCCCAGACAAGTGTCCCCCAGCCCCGCCTCTCCCTGGCACTGCTCCCTCTGTAGTATTGACGGTGGGCCTGTCAGGTGAGTGTCCCCTGGCTCTGGGCAGGGCTGGTGGGACCAGGGGAGTGTGTCCTTGGCCCCTGCCTCACTGATCCTCCTCCCAAACTAGCCATTCGAATTAAGAAACCTATCAAGACCAAGTTCCGGCTGCCTGTCTTCAACTGGACAGCACTGAAACCCAACCAGATCAGTGGCACTGTCTTCAGCGAACTTGATGATGAGAAAATCTTGGAGGTGACAGGGTCTGGGGCCCAGAGGGGTGGAGTTGGGGGCTGGGGACCAGGTTGTCCTTTGAGCACATCTAGCCTTGATAAAGCTCTCAGACAGGCTGGGACTAGGGTCAGCTCCATGAGCCCTTTATCCATGTATGTAACATACATTTCTAGTTTTGTCTTTACTTGTGTCTGTATGCATGAAACACGCCAGAGTGACAGAGCTCTGGGCCAATGCGGGGCAGGCTGCCAGGGGTTCTTGCAGTAGCATGAGGCCACAGCATTTTCCTGCTCATTTATCCTGCCAGGACCTGGACCTGGATAAGTTTGAAGAATTATTCAAGACAAAAGCCCAGGGCCCTGCCCTTGACCTCATCTGCTCCAAGAACAAGACAGCACAAAAGGCTGCTAGCAAGGTGACCCTGTTGGAAGCCAATCGTGCCAAGAACCTGGCCATCACCCTACGCAAGGCTGGCCGCTCAGCCGAGGAGATCTGCAGGGCCATTCACACGTGAGGCTCCCATTGACCTGGCCCTGGTCCACAGCCAGTTGGCAGTGCAGTTCTCTACCCAGGAGCCTGGCTTTCCCTAGATTTCAGGACTTCTGACAACTCCCTCACACCCCCCTCAGTCATCCACTGGCATGGCCAGAACTCATGCATCCAGGCTGTCGCCAGGCACTGTGTGAAGTGCTGGGAATTCAGCTCTGACCTTCACCCAAGGAGCACCTAGTGTAGTGGGAACAGTGCAGTAACACGGAGAGATACCACCAAGATGGCAGAGGTTCAGGCAGCTTTGGGAGAATAGGGAAGGCCACATGGCTGAGCCTGGTGATAGGGAAGGTCTCCCAGAGGAGGTGATGTCTCAACTGGGACCTGAGGGAAGTATACGAGTTAGCCCAGTTCAGGGCCTGGAGGGAGAAGGGTGGTGCCTTGGGCACTAAAAATGGCATCTGGCTTTAGTGTAGGGAGGAGACTAGGGGAGAAGGAAGAGAGGGGCAGAAGTCTGGCAGGCTGGGCCTCCTACGCCATGCACAGGTGTTTGGATTTCACCTAGGTACAGAGGGAAGACATTAAGGATTTTAAACAGCAGCATGGAATGTCCCCCAAGTATTGTCATTGCTGGTACTATGACAAATGAGGCAATGGGTCCTCTACCACTGGCTGTGTTCCGTGTTCAGACCCCTGCCCTGATCCTTCCAGGAGCAGGAGAATAAAAGGGATGAGGGAAAACATGGGCAGATGTGAGATCTGAGACGGTCCCTTCCTCCCGCACAGGTTTGACCTGCAGACACTACCTGTGGACTTCGTGGAGTGCCTGATGCGCTTCCTGCCCACAGAGGCAGAGGTGAAACTGCTGCGGCAGTATGAGCGGGAGCGGCAGCCCCTGGAGGAGCTGGCAGCTGAGGACCGCTTCATGCTGCTCTTCAGCAAGGTGGAGCGGCTCACCCAGCGAATGGCTGGTATGGCCTTCCTGGGCAACTTCCAGGATAACCTGCAGATGCTGACTCCGGTACAGCCCCAACCCAGCTCACAGTGCTGCCCCTCCACCTTCCACCTGCTAGCCACCTCCCCTGCCCAGCCAGTCCTTCCAGCCCCTCCCTGACTTTACCCAGTCTGGGGTTACTCAGGTGTTCGTCTCACCTTCCAGCAACTCAATGCCATCATCGCAGCCTCCGCGTCTGTCAAGTCCTCGCAGAAGCTGAAGCAGATGTTGGAGGTGGGGAGAGGTTGTAAACGGGGGTGCTAGTGGTTCCCAGGTCCTAGGTGGGGGCCTGGGGCTATATGGAGAGGAAGAAGGAGCCCTTGGGGCTTGGGCCTGACCTGCTCCCATGCATCTCTTGGCCAGATCATACTTGCGTTGGGGAATTACATGAACAGCAGCAAGCGGGGAGCTGTGTATGGCTTCAAGCTCCAGAGCCTGGATCTGGTAAGATGGCGGGGGCAGCACAGGCAGGCAGCCTGGGGCAGCAGTGGTGGAGCCAGAGTGCTTAGCCCTCCCATTCTGTCCTCACCCCTCTCCCAGCTGTTGGATACCAAGTCCACTGACCGCAAGATGACGCTGCTGCACTTTATTGCCTTGACGGTGAAGGAGAAATACCCAGACCTGGCTAACTTTTGGCACGAGCTGCACTTTGTGGAGAAGGCTGCGGCAGGTGAGGGGAACCTGGCCAAGTGGGCCTGCCCCTCGTGTCCAGCCCAGGACAATCCCAGGAAGCTGTGAGGAGAGGGAACGCTTGGGTCCATTTGTTTCTGCCTTATGTTATCTTCCGAGTACTTCAAAGCTTTCCGCTGGAGCCATGAGCAGGGGCCACTCAGAGGGAGGCTTCCTCCAGGCCCGGCCCAGCCCTTCCCAGCTAGGTGCAGTGGGAGCAGGAACAGGAAGGGGAGTTGGGGGCAGTGGCACTTTACTCCCAACTCCCTCAACACGGCCCTGGAGACTGTTCTACAGAGTATGTGAAGTGCTTCGAAAAACCATAAAGCCCTCTACAGACATAAGATAGCTGTTATTTCTGCCCCACCCACGAAAACTGTAGCAGGCCTGAGGCAGCTCCATTTTAGAGAGCAGCAGCCTCTATCTTGCCAGCCTTTGCTGCCTTGTTCTTTGGGATCATGAACTCACAGCCTGTTCCTTTGCCCTGTAAGGGCGCAGCTGGCTCCGTGTGCACCTCTCTATGTCCATACGGGTGTGAGAACCTGAGTGAGCCCATGCTGGTGGGGAGGGCAGAGTTTGCTAGAGCCCTGGGCTGGGAGGTGGGCATGCCAGGCCCTGAGTGGGCCTCAGCCAGGCCTCGCGTGACCACAGTGTCCCTGGAGAACGTGTTGCTGGATGTGAAGGAGCTGGGCCGGGGCATGGAGCTGATTCGGCGGGAGTGCAGCATTCATGACAACAGTGTCCTGCGGAGCTTCCTCAGCACCAATGAAGGCAAACTGGACAAGCTCCAGCGAGACGCCAAAACGGCTGAGGCGAGCATGGGGTGCAGGCGGGTGGGAGCAACCAGGGCCAAGGTGCCAGGGCCCCTCTAGGTGGCCGTAGTTCTGGTTCCTCAAGCAGCTGGCCAGCTGGCTGTGAGGTGAGAGAGGGCTTGCGGGTGGCAGGCAGCCACCTCTGGAAACATTAGGAGCCCCGGGTTCTCTCCAGCTCTTGGGCTTGGGTAGTTGGTTTTCCTCCTATGGCCCTGGGCTGCACTTTCCGCAGGCCTCCTGTCCCTGGTCCAGGAGCTGAGCTTCTTCCTGCCAGGTGACCCCTTCTGCCCACCCCTTCCCCAGGAAGCCTACAATGCAGTCGTGCGCTACTTTGGCGAGAGTCCCAAGACCACGCCACCTTCTGTGTTCTTCCCAGTCTTTGTCCGATTCATTCGTTCTTACAAGGTAAAGTGAAGCATTTAAAGAGGAGTTTGGCTCAGAGAAAACTGGTTGTCGGGGAGGAAGCCTGGGCTTCAAGTCTGGGCCTTTTCTGACTGTTCCTCTGAGTAAGGGGAGGGAGCAATGGAAGCTGCAGCAGACCTCTTAGCTGTGAACTGGTGGGTAGGGTGGGGGCCTTGGCCCTTCCTGTCATTGTTTGGGGCAGGAAGTACCCTCCAGAGGGTGGACACCTGGGGTCAGCTGGTCCTATTGCCACCCACTCTCCACCCTCAGAGTGAGCCCCTCCCCTCACAGCCTGTGTGAGCTTCACCCCCCACCCACCTTCCATGGCTCTTAGGAAGCAGAACAAGAGAACGAAGCCCGCAAGAAGCAGGAGGAGGTAATGCGGGAGAAGCAGCTGGCTCAGGAAGCCAAGAAACTGGATGCCAAGGTGGGTGGGACCAAGATAGGGGTCTGGAGGAAAACAGGGCAAAGGATTGGGGGCTGGGGGAACAGAGCTAGAGAGGAAATGAGAAACTGGAGTAGACAGACCAAGGGCCTGAGGACTAGGGTCCAGTGGGGAGGGGCTTTAAGAAGGTGATTCCTAGCAGTGCACATCCAGGGGTGTCCTTGGACTGCATCATGAGGCAGGAACCGGCCCCATGTTAGGTCAGTGACTTCCTTCCCTCTCCAAATCCTAGACCCCATCCCAGCGGAACAAGTGGCAACAGCAGGAGCTAATTGCAGAGTTGAGACGGCGCCAGGCCAAGGAGCACCGGCCTGTCTATGAGGGGAAGGATGGTACCATTGAGGACATCATCACAGGTGAGCCCCTTTTCCCTCCCTGGGATCTGGCAATCAGACCCAGCTTGCAAAGCTCAACCCAACCCCTTTGGGTCCTCTTCCTCCACATCCCCCATGAGGCCTGACAACCGTGTCTCTCTCCTGGGCCACAGTGCTGAAGAGTGTCCCTTTTACGGCCCGTACTGCCAAGCGGGGCTCACGCTTCTTCTGTGATGCAGCCCACCATGATGAGTCAAACTGTTAACCCCCAAGGCTGGGGCCCCTGACAGGTACCGGGCACCACAGCTGCCCCCTCTGCATGCCCCCCCTCCTGGACTCCTAGAGCCCACAGGCACCTCCTCTTTTGCATGACTACAGCCTCCCAGTGATGGGGACATGTTCTTCTCCTTGCATGCCCCATGCTCTGAGAAGAGTGGCTTCTCCCCTGCATGTACCAGGGTAGTGATCTCTCTCCCACTAACGCTGTCCTGGCTTCTACTAAGACTCAAGGGGTAAGGAGTCGCCAGGCCAGGGTTGAGAGCTGTGCCAGGGCAGACAGGACCAGCCTATGGTTCTGATCGTTGAGGCTGAAGCTCCATTCCTGGGCCCAGAGGATCTTTGGTCCTAGGGTTCCCTCCTCACAAGAGCTGACAGTAGTTTCTGCCAGGAGCAATCAGATGGCCCTTGATCTATTTCCTGACATCCAGGCAAGCCTGGGGTCTCTTCCCAGCTTCTGGCTCTTGCTGAGTCTACCTTATTGCGGCCTCTGGTCACCTCTCCCTGATCCTCTGAAACTGCAGAGCCCCAGCAATCTCCGTAACTACCCCTCAAGCCTGCCCTACTAAGACTACCCCTAAGCTTATCTACCTCACAGCAGGCTCCTGCTGGGCCCTGCCTGTGGGGCCGCTCCTGAAGGCACGGTCCTGGCTCAACCTCCCTTCCTCTTCACAGGCCTCCACCACCAGCCTATTGTCGTTCGCCACCAAGCCAGGAGTGCTGTACCGCAGAGCCCCCCTCGGGCTCCAGGCCCCCACTGAGCGCCTCTTCACTTCAACTCATGGACTTGGAGCCTTGGAATCAGCCAGGGGCCCAGCAGAGGGCTGTGCTGCTGTCAGTCATTTTCACCCCGGCTCTTCAGGCTGGATCTTACCTGTGCCACTGTGGGCACTAGGTCTGTGGGGGCCTGGCACGTTCTTGGTGCCTCCAGTACTGCACTTTGCCCCAAAGGTCTTCAGCTTCATTTCCTGAAGGGTCACCAAGGGTCAGCTCTGGCCCCTTGGGCCTGGGAAAAACCATTTCCAGCTTTAGCCAATACAGGGGCACCTAGGTCCCTTTCCCACTAGAGCCCAGAGGGATGAGAGCAGGAGCAACTATCCCTTCTTTGTTTCCTTCCTTTTTGCTGGCCCATGGTCAGCTCTGGTGTAGAAGTATCCAGGCTTAAAGGGAACCCTGGGACCCTGCCATTCTCACATCATCTCTTAGGAGCAAGGCCCTGCTAAGCCTGGGCCCCGCCCAGCTGTGCCCCAGTGATAAGGGTAGAGGAGAGATGCTGGGCTTGTTGCCCTCACCCCTTGGCTGTTGGCCCATTTCATTCTAGGCTGACACTGTCCTTGCCAAGGTGGGCAGAAAAGCAGAGGTTTTCTCTGCAGACAAAGCATGTGCCAACATCCTCACCTTTTCTCAGCTAGGTTTTTTTTTTGGCAGGGGGCATGGTGGTCTTGGCTATTTGCTCAGTTTCCTGCCAGCATCCTCTCAGCCCCTAGAAGGGAATGTGGGGGCCCATTTCTTTTTGTACATGTACCACCTCCCTTCTCTCCTGTACATAAACCCCAGACCTTCCCTCTCTCAACAAAGGCTTAAAGCACCAGGCCTGACTCTGTCTCCTCTTTCTGAGCTTGGGGCGTAGGGTGGCCATTCAGCCTGAGCATTGGGCTAGGACACCTGGGGGCAGCTGCATTCAGAAGCCTGGGAGGAGGAGAACCAGGCTGGGTAGGCTCCAGCCACACCAAGGGAGGCAGGTCTGCGTGAGATACTAGTGCCCTCTGCTGGACATGCGTACGCCTGTCAGCCCCCAGCCTGTCGCAGTAGCACATGGAGGAGACAAAAGAGTCACTGACCATGTTATAAATATCGTTATTTAAAAAACAAAACAAAACACACATATACTGGGTTCTGGGCAGGAGGAACCAGTGGTGGAGCGCCACGGCCAGGGCAGGCAGGAGCAGGCACTGATGCTAGAGGGTGAGGACTCTGCCCTCTGCCACCCAGGCTGTGTCCACCAGCCCATCACTCTTCCCTGGATACCCCTTCTCTCACACTTTATCTACTGGCATCACCCACCTCACATGGCGTACACCACCCATCTCTGGTCTGGGGCTGAGGGCGAGGACTGCACTAGCTGTCCGGGGAGGAGGGAACCCTTGAACACCAGGAGCAACCTTGAGAGGTGCCAACAGTGGTGTGCTGGGGGTGGGGCTACTTTAGGAAAAGTGAACACAGACCAGACTAAGGAAGAAGTCTGCGGCAGACGGCGAGGGTGGCCCAGGAGCCACAGCCGCACGCAGACCCAAGGCAGGCAGCAGTTTGTCGGTCACTGGTGATCATCCAGCTGCTGCAAGAGTGTGCGCCGCCGCCTCTCCAGCTCACCCTCGCTGAGCTCGCTTTCCGACGTGTCCCAGCCCGTCTGTCAGAGCAAAGGCACAGCTCACCCTAAGCCTCACTGAGGGCCGTGGAGGCCTGGAGAGTGGGGGCTGGGACCCCCGCCTCTCACCTTCTCCTTCTTGATGCCAAAGCCTGGGGAACGGTTAGGGAGCTCTGTCTGCCGGAGCTCCCTGTCCTTGTCCTGTTCCTGTTCTTTGTCATCACTGTCCTTGGCTTTCTCCTCAGGGTCTGTCTCACTCTCAGGGCTGTTCTGTAAGAGGCCAGAGCCCACCTCAGCTCCTGTGCAGGACAGCCCGGAGGCAGGTGGAATAGAGCTCACAAAATAGCAGGGCCTTAGGTAGAAGTTCTCTCTCTACTCACCGACTTGTGTCTTCTCTTTTTAGTTTTCTTTTTTGGTTTCTTGGCTTTCCGAAGGCCATGATCTGGAGATAGAAAAATCCCTATTAAGTCCCAAAAAGAGAAAGGAGGGCTCATCCTTTTCTCTGCTGTAGCCCCTCTGTTCATTCTTCACAGGTGGGGACCTCATGGTCTCAGGCAACAGTCTGAGGAAGTCTGAGTCACTCCAGTTTTCCTTCTCCCAGTTTCTTGCCTGGGCAGGGACAGGAAGTCCTTCCTACTCTCCCACAGGTGTAGCCTTCCCAGTCCACTCTACCCTCAGCGGGGCTGGGACTTGCCAGTGGCCTTCTCTCAGTCTGGGCCAACAGTTCTCTAGCTTCCAGGCTCCTAGCAATTGCTTACCTGATCCAAGGAGAAGGTGGGAGGAAGGGGAGCCCCGTCCTCCAAGGGCAGCACCCCCACTTTCAACCGAATCAAGTGAGGAAGAGGGCTCAGAGCCTGACTCTGAGGGGTTGCGCCTCCTCCGCTTGGGGGGCCGGAGAGACGGTGGGGGCAGCTCCTCCTCTTCCGACTCAGAGCCCTGGGCAGATCAGCAGATACGCGTCAGCGCAGAGGTTCTCTGGCTTCCAGAAGCCCTTGTCTGGGAACTGGGGACAGAGGAGGATCCAGGGCCAAAGGAATCCTCAAATCTCCCTCCAAGGGAGTTGACGCAGTGGAAAAACAAGGAAAGTGTTTCTTATTCCCCCGAAACAATCCAGCCTCACCCCACAACCCTTCTACCCGCTAACTCACTGAGGGCGAGTGAGAACGCTTGCGATGGTGCTTCTTGCCCTTCCTGCCATGCTTTCGGCCTTTTGTGTGGAGGTGCTGGCATTCAGTCTGCTAGAGGCAGAGGGAGGAGGGAGAGGACAGCACCAGCCTTAGCCCCAGGAAGGATCCTGCCTCCTAAAACCTGGCTTTGCCTCCCTCTCTCCAGGTAAGGCCTTCTGCCCCTCCCAGGGCTCCTCAGGCCTCCCCTCCCTTAGCTGGCCAGGGAAAGCAGAGCCCTAGGGGTGAGAGGCCACTGAGGTCTCCGTTGAGCTGGCCTAGGGAGTTTAAGGGCCTGGGACAAATCCAGAGGACAAGAAGTCTGCCTCACCTCCAGCACCTGGAGGAATTCCCGGAAGAGCCGGATCCGTTCCGACTCCAGGGTGATCTGCTCAAAGGCTGAGTCGCACACAAAGCGCTCACGGACCTTGAACGGGGAGAGCACTGCTGATCAGACCAGACCCCGTTTGGCCCGGCCTCGACACTGCCACGAGCACAGGGCAGGGCTGGGGCAGAGGAAGGAAGGGAACTGGAGCTGGCCCAGGGCTGTGCTGTGACTGGGGTGGGCCCTCAGAGGTGGAGAAGCACCGCTGCCCTCAGGCTTGAGGGGTGTTTGGGGCCAGGCTGCGCTCCTGACCTCTTCCCAGGTAGTGCCTAGCTCCAGAGCAGGCACGGCCTGCCTCAGCATGCTTCGAAAGGCAGCTTCCCTGCGCCGCATCCTTCGTGCCTCCTCCTTCTCCCGCTCCCTCTCCCGCGCCTCTGCTTTCTCCAGCAGCTGAGGGTAGAAGGGACACAGAACAGGGTGACCCAGGAGGGTGGGTGCCTGGGCCCCACTCAGGCATACCTTAGGAAGTGGAAGTTGGGATCTGGTCTTACGACTGTCATCCCCTGAACTGGGACTAGAGTCAGGGGGCAGTGAGCGAGAAAGAATGGAACAAGACACTGGGATGAGTTAGAGAACCGAGCCCCACGCCCTGCCCGGCCCCTCACACTATTGAAGGTCAGCTTGATGTTGCCTGCGTCCAGCGCAGCAGCCCTCTTGTCAAAGCTTATGACGTGGGCGAAGTCCTCAAAGGCTGTGTTCACCTCCACGCAGAAGCCCCGGTCCTGTGGGCACAGCAGTGCATGAAGCAGGGGGCACCACGGGCCTAAGCTGGCACGTAGAGGGGTCAGACTGCAGGATGGTCAAGAAAGCCCCCGTCTCCAGAAGAGAACCACAGGCCTGTGACATGCCTCAGAAACCGAGTTGTCCAAGTCCTCTTCATCTGACAATTAATCCCCTATGCCTACCCTTGATTTGGATGTCACATGGAGCTAAAGGGGTTGGGAGGTGTCTCCCAACTGCTGAGTGATGCCTGAGTTTCTCACAATCAGCTTTGTTCCTTCGGCTTAAAGCTCTGGCACCAGGCGGGCCCTCCCGCTGCTCAGTAATGCTCCCGTTCAACATCTGCTGGCGCCTCCCCTGGCTCTATTCACTGAGGCTTACTACACGCCAGGTACTGTGATGAGTGCTCACACAGTACCTCATTTACTCCTCACAGTTCTGCAGGTAAGTATAGGTCCTAGTACCCTAATTTTATGCAGAAGGAGAACCCCGGTTTAGAGAAACTAGAGCACTTATCCAAGGTCTCACAACTTACATATGGCTGGGCAAGAATTCTACCCCAGGTCTTTCTTCCTCCAAAACCCGTGCTTTCAAGCACCACACTCACACAGACCACTCAGTCCCTGGGAGAAATGGAGGCCACCAGGTGTGCAGCTCCCCACCAATATGGAGAACACCTCCGCGAGCCAGGCTCTGTGTTCTCATCTAAGCCTCACAATATCCCGGTGAAGTAGAGGCTCAGAAAAGTAATCTCACTTGGCCCAAAATGACACCAAGTGTTAAGTAGAGCCACTGGAATCTGCAGTCTGGCTCTTGAGTGAGCTGGGCACAGGCCAGATTCCCTTCCCATCCCCCCACACAGCTCTAATCTCTGGCCTTCCTACTGATGGCAGATGCATGCACTTGCTTCTTTCTAAGAGTACTTCCTCGACCCACATGCTCCAGCCCTTCTCAGACACAGCATTCCCTCTCAGGGGACTGAAAGCTCAATCTCACCCTCTTCACTGGCTCCTTCCATCAAGCACTCACCTCACTTAATCTGGAACATTCCATCCACCCTGCTCTCACTTTCCTCAAGCTAACTACCTCTGCTGCTTTCCCTTCGTTTCAAAATCTCTTGAAATGCAGCACAAAGGAAAAGGAATAAACATTTATTGCAAGCCTATTATAAGCTTGACACTTTACAGATGTTATTTAATTCTCACAACCTTACGGATTATCCCCACTTTTCAGATGAGGAGCCAGGCTCAGAGACATGTACCTTGCAGAGGTCTCAGGGCCAAGGAGCTATCTAACTCTAAGACGTGTGCTGCCCCCATGCCACCCCTTCACAACACTGCTCTCCCAGTGGCTGCTCAAGTCCTAACAGTCAAATCCAAGGCTGCCCCTTCTTGGTCCTCACTCATCTGATTCTCAGTGCCCCTGCTGTTTCCTTCAACACTCCCCTCTCCGGGTCCCTTCCTCTCTGGCCTCTTTTACTTCTCTTGCATGTGCATGTTCCTGAGAACAGCACTTAGCCCTTTCTCACTACCTGATCTATACTCTCCCTAGCAATCTCACCTTCACCTCTCCTGATTTTCAGACCCATACTAGCCTGGACATTTCATAAACACTTCAAATTCAACAGATCCAAAGGGAATACATTTCTCATGAGAACCCCGGATGCCAAATGCCCCATGGATCTCCCAGGCCCAGATATTCTGTCTTCTACCTGCTCCAAGTCCAAGGCTCTTTGCATTAACCTATGGGATGACAGGTGCCATCAGAGTCCACCTGGCTACAGATGGCCACAGGGACTCCTGGGCTTATTTGTCCTCGCCAGGCAGGAACCCAAATGGGGGATATGAAGGGGAACTGTCTCAAAAAGCTGCTTTCTCCGGTGATGTGGAAAGAAAGGACTCAGCGAAGACAGGCCACCCGCAGGCCTGTCAGTAGCACCTGCCACTCTGTGGTTAAAAGTTAATTGTCCAATACAATTTAGCCATCCTGGTATTAGGTATTTCTACTTTATATGATTATTCTGTTTAAAATATGGTATTTGCTTTGTTCCTCCCTGCCCTCGGTTGCTGTTGAGAATAATTCCCCAAATGGAATTCCTATTTTCCCCAGCCCTGCTCTTTCTACTTGATCCTTACCAACAGTGCCGTCATCTACTACCCTGACATCTCTAACCCACTCCTGCTTTCCCCTCAATTTCACAAAGCAGTCTGTCAACTCTACTTTAGTGCCTCTATCCCACTGGTTTTAAACTTTCATGTTTTTTTAACAGCACAAACATTTTATAAAAAGTCTTATGTAGAACCTTAAAGCATAAAAAAGATGCCAGCTGCTCCACTTGAAAATAGCGGAAGTATAAAATCCCCCACTCAACCCCCAGCCCTTGCTTGTCCCAAGGCACATATGAGGAAACCTAGGGCATCTCAGCAGCACAGCTGAGCGCTACAGCTCTCTCCCCATCTGCCGTCCCTGCCTCAGATCACCTCCCACCTGCATTCCTCCAGCGGCCTCCTGACTGGTCTCCCTGCTCACCCTCTTCCACGCCTCTAACCCAGCCTTTAGCATCTGGTGCTTCTCAGAGTGTTGTACCAAGTAGCCCCGACAGCAGGGGAGAGGTCTGGGGATGAGTCAGAAGAGGATGACTCAAAGTTTGAGTTACCTGCCACTATTACTTTTAGTATCTCGAGGTTTCAAGAACTGTCCTACCAGCACCTCCACCATCACCTCCCCGAGGAACCCCATTTTATAGTCTACACTGAGAGGTGCTACTATACACCATCACCAGTGGCTTTTCCAAGACACCATCTGATCTTATCCATTCCCCGGTTCCTCATTACTTACAAGATAAAAATCCAAATTTCTTATTTTAGCATTCAAGGCACTTTACATGCAGGACTCTACTTCCAAACTGGGGCATGTGGTTTCAGAGAAATAGAGGAAATCACAGGACAATATGATACATCTTACATAATGGTAAATAATTTTAAAATATTAAATTTATATTAAACAGAGGTAATACAGTATTAAAATGCAACACCTACATGAATTTGTAAGGCAAAACACAAGACTTAAAAGAAATATATGTGTAGTGGGACATTTCTAGCTTTACTCTCAGATCCATCTCAACCCAGGTACTAGGTTACTATCCTCTACAAGTAGGTGTACTTTGGCAGAACACTCGCCATTTTCAGACAAGGAAACAAAGGTTCAGAAAGGTTAAGTGACTTGTCTATGGTCACACAACTAGCAAATGGTTAAGCTGGGACTTTTACCCCAGGCAGTCTGCCTTGAGTTCTGCTCCTCAACACTGTACTATACCATCTCCTCAGATGTATTAGAATGTTCTTCATTTCCACGAAGAAATATGCTTTCTCCTTATTTTCTTCTTTTAGAGTACAAGGCTCTCTTACTTAGTCCATCATTCACTCACTCTTCTACTTTTTTTTTTTTTTTTTTTTGAGACAGAGTCTTGCTCTGTTGCCCAGGCTGAAGTGCAGTGGCACAATCATAGCTCACTGCAACCTCGAACTCCTGGGCTCAAGTGATCCTCCTGCCTCAGCCTCCCAGGTAGCTGGGACTACAGGCACGCACCACCACGCCTGGCTAATTTTTCAATTTTTTGTAGAGACAGGGTCTTACTATGTTGCTCAGGCTGGTCTTAAATTCCTGGCCTCAAGTGATCCTCCTGCCTCGGCCTCCCAAAGTGCTGGGATTACAAGCATGAGTCACCACACCCAGCTACCTTTCTACTTTTTTTTTTTTTTTTTTGAGACATAGTCTCGCTCAGTTGCCTGGGCTAGAGTGCTGTGGCGTCAGCCTAGCTCACAGGAACCTCAAGCTCCTGGACTCAAGCGATCCTACTACCTCAGCCTCCCAAGTAGCTGGGATTACAGTCATGTGCCACCATGCCAGGCTAATTTTTTCTATATATTTTTGGTTGTCCAGCTAATTTCTTTCAATTTTTAGTAGAGACGGGGTCTCGCTCTTGCTCAGGCTGGTCTCGAACTCCTGAGCTCAAATGATCCGCCCGTCTCAGCCTCCCAGAGTGTTAGGATTACAGGCGTGAGCCGCCACGCCCGGCCCCTTTCTACTTTTGATAGACATAGATATTGAGAACTATTTCTTTTCTCCAGCATAAGAAAAGGAACAGTGCATATGTGATGATAAATGATCATCTTCTCATCATGCAATCGTGCCTTTTGCTGCAGTATCAACAAGGCGCTAAGGAGTGGTGAGGACAAGGAAGACTTTGCCCTTGCTAAAAGAGCAGTGGCAACTCAGCTGGAGTCCACAGAATGCCTTGCAAATTCAGCCCAGTGTTGCTAAATAATTCAAATTGATAAGAGAAGCTAAAGATCCAGATTTTTATGTGAAATCTCCTGATTTTAAAATGTTAGCAGCAAATTCCAAATTTTTCTAAAACACTGTATATATAGGCCAGAAAGAACAATCTGTAGGCTACTAGTTTACCATTAGCTATGCTTCTTGCTCCTCATACCTGGCATGCCCTTTCCACGCCCTTGCCTTTGTTCTTGTACTACCCTATACCCAGAACATTCCATCCTCCTCCACCTACTCATTCCTAAAGGTGCAGTTCAAATGTCAATTCTGATTCCTGTCTCTGTAATAACTGCCCCTCTATATAATAGTTCTTATCTCTATTTTCCTATTAGGTCATGACCTCTTGTGTGCAGAAATTGTGTCTTATTCATTATTGTATCCCTAGAGCACAGTAAAGGACTTGGTTCTACTGAACCAAGCTATAACGCTCCTACAAAACAGGACTTCTCAGGGAGTCTTGTCCAGGGAGTGTGCCCTATACCCAGCATGCATCCATTCATGACCCCATGCCTCCCTCACCTTAAGGATGTCCTTAATGATCTTCTTCTCATCATGGAATCGTGCCTTCAACTCCTCTACATAGAACTTGAACAAGTCCAGAGGGGTGGAGCCTGCAGGGAAGGAGGGAGGGGGGCCTGGCGGGCGGCAGCTTCCCAAGGCCTGGGGTTGGGGCTGAGGACAGGACCAGGGAGGAGGGGTGCAGAGAGGCTGGCAGGCCAGGAAGCCAGGCCAGAGAAAGGGGAGCCTGGCTGCCTTACCCGGCTGGCCCAGCATGTTGGCAAAGCGGACATCAGTGCTGACTGCTGGGTAGAGCTCCATCCAGGTGGACATAGAGTGCAGCTGCCCTGTCTCATGCAGCTCGTCCAGGAAGGTCTGAGCAGGGAGAGGCCAATTATAGGGAGAGTGAGATAGGGAGGGAAGCAGAGCTACAGAATGAGGAGAGGCAGGAACAATCCAGATCAAGGAAATGCAGGCAAAAAAGGCAGAAATGAAGAGATACAGATAGGGAGGCTGAGAACAACACGAAAGGGGAGAATATAAATACGCAGAGGACAGAACAAAAAAATGAGTACAAGCCAGCCTGGGAGGCAAAGAGACAGAAACCCAGCCTGCAGCAACTTCTTGACATGTTACAGCAAAGCAACCCCCACCGCTACTACCATCACCACCACTGCCACCCCAGAGCTGGGACATAAGCTCTGCCTGGCCCGCTCCCCTCCCAAGGGAAATAAATATGGCCTAGCTGCCTAGTCATGCCTGTAGGGTGCCCTCTGCTGGTAGTTTCTGGATGGTGCATACATCTAGTCTCCTTAGAAGAGCACAGTCCACAATTGAGGGGATATAGCAGGAGCAGACTGCAGGCAGAGAGAGGCCTCACAGAGCTTGGACAGGGCTAGGCACAGACAAAGCAGGCAGCCTAGCCAACAGGAGGCAGGGAATGGATGAAGAGATTGTGGTCTGGGGCAGAGCTGAGCTCTATCCAAAAGGGCAGCAGAGATACCTGGAAGGCCTCCCTGTTCTTGCGTTGCTGGCGCCGCTCCCGAAGCCGAGCCCGCTCCCGCTCCTCCTCCTCCTCCCTCTCCAAAGCTCGGATGTGCTCCTCAAAGCAGATCAGGGCATCTTCCTTGTCCATGTCTAAAGGCAGGGAGGAGGTTCAGCAGACACCATACCAGCAGGACACCCTCTCAGACTCCAGCACCCCTAGTGTTTAAATGATGCTGCCCCTATAGGTAGTAGGGACACCCAGCATGGTGGGGAAAGCTGGGGGAGAGGGCTCTGTGGGAACAGCCACTGGAATGGTGGTTCTTGAGGGGAGGATCATTAATTGCATAAGAAAAAAATTAGCAAGTATTCAGCTCTTGTGAACTCAGTTACTAGAGGCCATCACATGAAACCAGTTGTGTTGGGACCTGAGGTTTCACATCATATGGAACTGGGAATCAATGAGGTTTTGATGCAACCTCAGAAAGTGAATTTATGATTATTGTCAGTGATTACAGACCAATAACAGCTTATTGTAACACACGTGACCAGTTAAGGCCCATAGTGCTATGATGATTAAGACCATATTCACATGAGCTATAGACAGCAGCAGCAGCGGCATCTTTAGGACTTCTGATTCCTATCCCAGAGCTCTTCTGCCAAGGACACAAAATGTCCAGGTCAACAATGGCCCCCACGGGGAGGGAGGAGGCGTCCTGAACATGTCCTGGGATCCCCAGAGTCCAGAGAGGTCCAGGGACTGAGTGCTGGGCACTCCTAGGATGTCTGGGAGGCAGGAGGCGCAGAAGAGTGGTGTGAGGCAGACTCTGGGGTCCTAGGATCAGTAGGAAAGGGGAAGGATCAGGCGGGAGTGGAGACCCAGGCTTACTCTGCAGCTGATGGTCCTGTGCAAAGCTGGGGTTATCCATGAGGTACTGCTGAGCCTGGGACCATGTGGTTTGGAAGGTGACACTACTCATCCCATCCAGGATGCTCTTCAGGGCCTGGATGTTGCGGCGCCGGAGCTGCTTGGCCTGTTCCTGGGGGACCACAGGATTAGGGTAAGGCAAGGCAGGCCAGAGCTACCCAAGTAGGCTGGCCAGAGGAGGACTAGTGGAAGAGAAGATAGCTAGGGGACCCTAGGAGGAATGCCAGACTCAAGATTTTTGTGTCCTGGGGATGGGGAGGGAGTACAGGTTACAGACCTACCTCTCAAAGACTCCTTCTTGCCCTCCCACACCAAGGGCTATAGACTCAGAGCAGAAATAGGGGGATGTGCAAGTGCCATAGCAGCTTCCAAATGAGGAGCTGGGACACCGGGGAAGTGGCGAAACGAATGGCCAGGGTCCATAAGAAACCAAAGACAAGCAGAGTCCAGGATGAGACTGGACTGAAGGATCCAGCCCAGTGACCATTACCTTTTCCTTCTTGGCCAGGAAGAAGAGGACATCATCATAAACCTCTTTTCGATCCCTCTCAGGGACCACAGCCCAGACCTCTAGCTCTCCAAAGGTCTGTTCTGCCCGCCTGTGGAGCACACGGGCTGTGAGTAAGTAGGCAGAGAACAGAGACCCTGGGTCTTTGTGTTCTTAGGGTTCCCAGGCCCCAGCCCAGCCCAGCCCCCTGACCGGTAGCGGGTGGTGGAGGTCATGCGTTCATGCTGCTCCAGGAAGTGCTGCAAGGTCTGCTTGGCCTCCTTGGCCCTCAGCCGGGCCTCCTCCTTCTCCTCCTTCTCCCGCTGCGCCTTGTAGGCATTGAATGCTTGCTTTTTCTCACTCAGTTTGGGCAAGGCACTGAGGTGGAGATGGTGGGAGTAGGGTGGGGATAGAGAAGGAGTCAGCCTGGACCACTGCGCACAGCCCACAGAGTAAGACGGGGAAGGGTGTCCACAGGGCTGAGTGGGGGTCCATGCACAGGCGCATCCAAGGGCACAGATGTCTGGGATCTGAACACCATTCATGGACAGGTAGTGGTAAGAGGCACTGAAGGGGAGAGATGTGGCTCCAAGACATTGCTAATACTGGATCCCCTTACTTTGGGGTTCTCAAGTCACCATCAGACCTCTGCCATATCCAGCCTCCTCCTTCCCCAATTAATTCAATTCAATTTGATTCAGTTCAACAAGCATTATTCAATGTCTCATGTCAGATACCTTTCCCTTTCCTTCTCCTGGAGGCCTTCCAGCTTTTCTTCCCCTTGTGCCCTACCCTAGTCTATCATTTTCCTGACCCTGGTCCCCTTGGGGCTGAGTGTTGAGCTAGGGTTTCTCAGGGAATCCCCGGCCTAGCTGCTCTCATAAATAGGGCCTGGCTCCCACTGCCTAGGCCTACCTGTAACGGGGGTCGGTGACCACCATCTTCATGGCCTGTTCCCATGAGGCATTGGAGGGGACAGCCTGGAATGGAGCAGGTGGGGGTCATGGGGTCTGCCCACCTCCAGCCCCTTCCAGGCCTTCCCTGGGAGCCCCAACCCCAGCACCTTGTCCCTCAGCAGCTCCTTGAACGCCTGTTTTGCCTTCTCCCGGTTGCTCCAACTGAGGCCAGACCTTTCTGGTTCTGGCTTTGATTCCTCTTCCTCCTGCTGTGGTGGCTGATGCTGTCCAGAACTGAAGGGGAGAGAAGACTCAAGCACAGGGCCCCCCAGCTCTCAGGGTTTTCAGTTCCCCATACTCTCGGCAACATATCATCCCCTGCTTGCTCCCTGGGCAGCCCTCTTCTGCCCTTCAGAGGTCATGCCCAGATCTTCACATCCCTCCTGAGAGGCCTGGCGGAGGACAAGGGTTGAACCAGGATGGGAGCCTGAGACCAGCATCTAGAGTGCCATGGGGAGCAGCCTCACCTGCTGGGGCCCTCCTCCAGCTGCTGCAGGAACCTCTGCTCCAGGGGCTGAGGAGCCTCTGACACATCACAGTCTTCACTCCCACCTGGCTCAGGTTCCAAGAGGCCTGTGGGCACTGGGGTGGGGCCAGGAGGTACAGGTGGGGGGTCGGGCTGTGGCTGAGGAGGCTGTGGCTGTAGTGTCTGTGGCTGCTGCTGCTGCTGCTGCTTCCTGTAGGTGAACAAGAAGAGCAGTGTCCAGGAGTAGAGCAAGGATAGAGGAGATCAGGGGCTGGCTGGTCTCTATGGGAAGGACTGGGACCAGAGTGGATGATTCTACAAGGAGACAGAGAGCTGGCCCTTCCCCCTACAGAGTGGGGATAATGCAGAATCCACTCCCAAGCCCCCAGTGCCCGAAGTATGAATGGATAGGTGGGCAAGGTGGGTAAGTCACTCACCCTGCAGCCTCTTGTTTGACTAGAGCTGCAATAGGAAAAGACAACACTGTCAGTCACAGGGTAACAAGGAACCCCCAGAAGCCCTGATCAGGCCTAGCCCCTCCTCTACCTAGGACCCCTCACCCTCCAGGTCATCCAGATCCTTGGGTCGGGTCCAGCGGGATTCCTTACTCTGGTTGTTATAGTAGTAAGGTTTGCCTGTGTCCGACTTGTACTCTTTCCAGGGACACTGGGACAGCAGCAGCTGCAAGAGGACGGGTCAGGGGACATCAGTGGGCTAGGCATGCTCTCCAGCCACAGTCAGGGGAGCTAAGGGGACCCAATGAGGAGAGGACACAGGAGTCTTTAGCTACCACCTAGCCTAGCTCAAATGGGAGAAGGTGGACTTCCTAAGATCCTAGGGAGACATTTTCATGGAGGATGGAGGGTGGTGAGGGATCCTGGGATCAGAGGAACCGTAAGAGTATGGCTAGAGACTCAGGGGAGGCCAAGGACTTGAAAGGGTCAGGGCAGCTGAAAGGAAGGGCCAGAATGTCCGGCTCAGGACCTCCGCCTTGGACTTGAGCACGCTGGGCTTCTCCCACACGGACTGCTTGTCGTCAGCATTGTAGTAGTAGATGCGCCCATCAGGGGCCACATGCTCACTCCATAGGGCCCTCTGGCGGGGGGGGGGGCACAGAATGGTGGTCAAGGCCCCTTTCCCAAAGCCTCTCCTCACCCCAAAGATTTAACCATCAGCCCCCCACTCAGCCTTTCTACCCAGAGACCCCTGAGCCAGAAGAACTCACCGGAGGGCCTGTCCCAGCCACAGCAGCTAAAAAAGAAGCCAAAGGAAACATATTAAGTCCTTGCTCCAACCTCCATCTTATCCCCACCTATTCCTCCCTTATTCCATCCCCAGTAAATATCCCTCTGGTCCCATCAACATCCCAGGCTCCCTGGCATCCCAACAGGCATGATCCAGGGTGGGCTCCAGTCCATGGTCCCCTCTCCCCTATACCCCCCAACCTCCGAGCCTGGGGGGAGCAGGCCCCCAGAAGACTCACAGCTGGCGGTGTCCGCACCCGGAGCCGTCTGCCGAAGAAAGAGGAGGGGGAAGGGTTGGGGCCAAGCCCAGTGGCCCCCAGGACCCAGGCCATGGGGGATGGAGAAGCAGGCCAGGCCAGAATCCACGTGTCTTGTTCCCAGGCATCTCTGTTCCCTAACAGGCTTCCCCCACCCTCCGGGGCTATGGCTCTTGCATCCCAGAGGGGAATCACACAGCAGCTCCATTCTTCGTTCTCCTCAAGTATTTTGTTGAGTCAATTCCTGAGGCCCATCTCTCCACAATGGATGCCAAATTCTACATCCTACCCAGACTCTACTACACTAAGCGACAGCACAAGAAAGTACAGCAAGATCCCCAGGTGCTGTTGCCTCCTCCAGAGGCAAAGAGGATATAAAGAAGGGACCATATTCATGTGTCCACAGTGCACGGCTCTATGAGGGTGAAGCGTGTTTGGCATGAGTGCATTCCTTAAGGGAGCTGGGCACAGCTGGGGAGTAGCAAGAGAGAATGTATGTGCCTTTGCGAATGAGTGGGAAACTAGGAAAGCTGAGTATGTCGCTGGTGAGGAGAATTCGAGTGTGGGGAGTGCTGCAGGGGCAAGGATGGATTAGATGAGAAGAGGGAAAGAATGGAGGCCATATCCCTGTACTCCAAGTCAGACCCTCAGGACCGCAGGGCAGAGCCTGCTTCCTGCCTACCCTCAGTGCTTACCGCTGCAGTGACAGGCACTGCTGGCATCAGCATTCCTGGCATCATCGGAGGTACCATTCCTGGTATCTACGGATACAAAGAAGACAAAAACCAGCCACCAAGATGAGGGCAGGCACAGGCTGGGCAGCGTACCCTGAAGGGTCGTGAGAGATCCCACTAGGGCCATGACTCTCACTTTGGCGCCTCGTCAGGCAATCCTCAGGTTCTGGCCTCTCACCCTTGCCTGCGAGTTGTCTCAGTCATTCAGCAGACAAATCCTCATAGGCCTGGCCCAAAGCTCTCTTCCCTCCCCAGTTTCTGAAGTCCAAATGCCCATTCTCATCTCCACCCCCAGCTAAACTGAAAGGGTTTGCTGAGGCCACAGGGGAGGAGAGACAATTACCTGTGTGAGTGGAGGTGGCGCCCCCATTGGTGGAAGCATAGGGGGCAGGATGCCAGGTGGCATGGGGGGGATGGCTGGTGGTCTCTGACTCATGGGGGGTAGCCCCATCGGAGGAAAGGGTGGGGGGATCCCTGGAGGGGGCATCTGGAAATGAGGAAAGGAAGAGACATTGAGCAGAGAAGACACTGTCATATCAGAGGCAGAGAAGACCTGTCAGGAAACACCCACCACCTCCCACCCCGGCTCTGAGGCAATTCCAAGGTTTTAGTCTGAGAAGCATAAGGCATGAAACTGCCTCCCTCCTCACCACTGAGAAAGACTGATAACTGAGGGTGTTCTCTGGGCCTAACAGGCAAGCACACAGCTTCTTGCTTAAGAAGCGAAGGGAGAAGGAAAAGGGAAGTGTAACAGCACCAGACTGTGCCTAGAAGGCTCTACCTCCTCAATTCTCCCCCGAAGAGGCCTCTCAGATGAAGGGGCAGAAGGCAGGTACCTAAGTTCCCCAGTCCACTGCCTCCCATGCCCTTCTCTTCAACTCACGACCACCAGTGCTATTCCAGCCTGAATTCCGTGGCATATTTAAAGAGCATAGGCAAGGAGTAGTGAAAGAGAAAGACAGTCCCACTCTGCCCTCACACTAATGGGGTCTTTTCCCTTCCACTGCTCCTACCTCCAGCCCCAGTGTGTCCCAAGGACAAAAAGACAAAGAGGGAATTGTCAATTTTATGGACTGAGAGCTTAACAGCAGCTCTCCCCGCCCCTATGCCCAAGCAAAACCATCCCTCTTCCAAGGGCAGCAAAAGGGGGCATCACAGGAGAATTGTGCTGGCGATGCAGCAGTGGCTAGGGGTTGGGGGCGCTGGGGTGCAGGCTGGAAAAGCCAAGCCCAGGGAAAGACATAAAACTTACGAAGGGTGGTGGCATCATGGGGGGCCCCGGTGGGAAGGGGGCAGGCGCTGCTGGGGGCCGGGGACCAGAATCGGGAACCGACTGTTGAGGGAGAGAAAAGTCATAGGACCCAGGATGGGCACAGAGATGGGCTTTTGCAGAAGGGAAGTAGAAGAGGTAAGGATGAAAAAGGAGCACAAAGTTCAGAGGCAGGATCTCCAAGCCCAATTTCTTGCCCACCCCACATTCTGAGCCCTAGTTAGGTTCGCTCTCTCTTGTGCCAGCCCAGAGCCAGCTGGCTGAGCCCCTTCCATGTCATCTTTATTTTGGACGTTTCCATTTTGCCAAAGCCACAGGCAAGATGGAGGAGGCTCTACCACAGGTACAGACTGGCTCTTCCCAATGCTTTTGATCTGTTCTCCCACCTGTGGGCAAGGCTGTGCCTCTCTCAAACCACTTAAATAGATGTCTCTCCCTCCCAAAGCACCTAGGGAGGGAGTGGCCTCTTTTTCAGTTCTCCTACCTCAATTAACCCACTTACTGAGATTCCATCCAAAGCTCTCGAAACACAAATAGTCACTAGTCCCTTAAAGTGCTACTCTCCCAACTTTCCTCTTCACTACTAGCTTCCTCCCCTAATTGGCCCCAACCTTAGTCACTCACTTTGACATCTTCTACTCCTAATCACCAACTTCATCTCTTTAGCTCTACCCCACACCCATTTTGTTGGCCATCCCCTCCTCTAAAAATCCTCAACTCCTCTCCCTGCAGATGCAGGCTGTGGATAGCCTAGGTCTCCCCATCCTACACCTAATGGCTGACCACATCCCATCCTGAAGTTCTCAGCTTAAATACCACTTATTCTAAGAAGACTCTTGACTCTATTTAAAGCAGCTCCTTCCAATTTATTCTATCTGATCCCCTTTTTAGTTTCTGCATGTATACAATTTTGTAATTATTAATATTATGGTTGCCTGGATATGTGTTCCCCACCCCCACCCCTACTAGAACATAACATTCCTATGAGGACTGGGATCACAACAGACTTGTTGAAAGCTGGATTCCTGGTACCTGCCACAGTGTCTGGCACATAATAGGTACTCAGTAAATATTGAATGAATGAAGAACAAATGAAGGAACAAATCCTATCTATACAGAACCTTCCCATTCTAAAAAGTAATCCTATAGGCATAGCCCCGCATGGCCAAAATATGTTGTGTAGGTTTTTGTTTCAGTATTACTTGTAAAAACAGAAGACCGGAATCAGCCTAAATATCCAATAGTAAGGAACTACGAAATTACACACACGCACGACAAAGATGACACACAAAACGTGGGTGGAAAGGGGACAGAGGCGGAGGGGAGACTTCACTGTATGCCCTTTTGTACCTTGTGAAAATGCAACCACATGACTACATTGCCCGCTCAAAAAAATAACTGAACCGAGTCTTGGAGATACAGCTAAATGGCCCTGCACTTCTTCCTCTTTGCCTGGAAGCTGGGGAGGCTGTGGTAGGGGGGAGTTCTAGAGAAAGGTGGTAACTGGCTGAAGAGAAGCTACCTCACTGCTGCCCAATCTCCCCTGTGTTGAGAAGGCTCAGCATTTAAAAATGCTTTCTTAGCTCTACCTTTAAAACATCTGTCCTTCATCTTGTCCTAAGAAGAGAAGGGTACGAGCTAAACTATTCCAACCTGACTCACCTTCTCTCAGTGTTCAATGACTTTAGCTCTGTGTTCAGACTTGCTCCTGCCCTGTGAAACTCTCCTCAGCATGGAAAGTCAGAAACTAATCAATATGGGAGGAAATCCAACTTTCCATGTCACGCTTTCCCACCTCGAGCTGCCTCAGGAGCCTCTCTAAGCTCCCAGATAACCATCTTTTGGGTCCTAACGGACTCTGAGTTGCGCAGCTCAGAGACTGGCACTACATCTCCCTCTTTCTTGCTGATACATCATTGAGTCTATTAATTTACCTCCTAAAGATCTCTTGAATCTACTTCTCTCCATTTCTTCTTCTACCACCACAACCGCTCTTATCCAAGCCATTGTTTTTTCATCTGACCTATTGCAGTGGCCTCCCAACTGTTCTCCTCACAGCCACCCCAATCTGCAGCTGTAACAAGTGCACCTCGTTACTCCCCTAACTTAAAACTCTTCAGTGGCTTCCCACTGCTCTTAGCATAAACACCAAAACCCCTGCCAAGGGCCTGTGAGGCTATGGGAGGGAGGTCTGCTCCCCAACTACCTTGCCAGTCTCCCCCAGCTGAGCTCCAAGGTCTGTGCTCCAGCCACTCACTAGCTCTCGGTTCGCCCACCTCAGATATTCACCTGTGCCTGGTTCAACCGTGTTGCTCCTGCCAACCCCACACACCTTGCCTATGTACACTTCACATCTACCGAACATAACGTCCTCAGGAAAGCTTTTCCCAGCCCACTGGGCTGGTCAGACCCCTTTTTTATATGCTCATACACCACCATGTACCTTCCTCTTCAGCAATCATCCACTAGAATTTTACAGTTATTTGTGCAATTCTGATTGTACTATTACTTTGTGGCACTAATAAAAAAACAAATGTTACCAATTAAATTATGATACTCATGAATTTTTTTTTTTTTGAGACAGAGTCTCACTCTTTTGCCCAGGCTAGAGTGCCGTGGCGTCAGCCTAGCTCACAGCAACCTCACACTCCTGGGCTCAAGCGATCCTTCTGCCTCAGCCTCCTGAGTAGCTGGGACTACAGGCATGCGCCACCATGCCTGGCTAATTTTTTCTACATATTTTTAGTTGTACGATTAATTTCTATTTTTAGTAGAGACGGGGGTCTCACTCTTGCTCAGGCTGGTTTCGAACTCCTGAGCTCAAACAATCCGCCCGCCTCGGCCTCCCAGAGTGCTAGGATTACAGGCGTGAACCACCACACCCCGCACCCCGGCCAGCCCGATACTCATGAATTTTAAGATGCATCCTGACTTCAGAAATGTTAAAATGTGAGTGTTAGAATTAATGAAATATAATATCTTCAAGCCCCTACTAGACTGAAAACTCTTAAGGTCAGGGACTTTGTCTGGTTTTGCTCACCTCATATCCAATTCCCATTGTATTTTCCTCACCACCACCCCCAGCACAAAGTAGGTGCTAGTAAGTATTTGTTGACTCAATGACTTAATGGTCTTGGCAAGTCCCACAAAACAGCAGGTGGCCACTGGTAAGGCCTAGTAGTAATTCGGGCAACACAAACTGTCATATCTTGAGAGGACCCTGGCAACCACCCAAGGTAGTCCCCTCTTTTCAGGGAATAATCTGTCCAAGGTCCCACAGCTGGTTACGGACAGAGCCGGGACTGGATCCAATCTGCCCCGCAGCCCTCCTCCCTTAAAAGCACAGTTCCTGCCACAGGAAGCAGGTCTCATTTTCAATTTAGCATATCCCCAGCAACCTAAGCGGTTAAATCATCAAGGATCCCACATTTTCTTGCTTGAGAACTAATGGTGGTTCCCTATTGCCTATCCTACAAAATCTCTCATCTAACATTCAAAGCCTTTTAACAAAGGCCATCCCACACTCTTCTTGGCTCACCCTGACTCAATGGCTTTCCTCCTCCTCTTTGCACAGGAATTATTGCCCTCATGCGTTTTTATTCTACTTTGTCTCTTGCTATGTTCAAGACGATCCAATATTCACCTCCTCCGGGTTACCTTTAAGACTATCCCATACACACACACACACTCCTACCTACTGCATCCCCTCAGGATAAATGCTGCACTACTTTGCAGAGTGACTCGCTACTCTGTGATGTTTGCTGGGTGTTTCACGTGGGACTGCCTGTCTCCTCAATCAGGTGGGGATTTCCCTACCTCCTGGGATTGAGTTTCCCCCTTTTAAACCTCCCCCAAATGTCTAGTCGGGGCCCTGCACGCAAAGTGCTATGATAATTGCAGTCTCACTCCTAACCTTATTAGATTTTTGCACACTAGAACATCCTAAAATGGTACATGCACATGTACCCATGTACATTTATATAAATTCTCTAAGTATAGGCTAATTGTGACAGAGGTAGCTTGGCAGAGGCCTGTGTGGCTTGGGGAAAGGAAACTGGAATCAAATACTGGCATGGGAAAACTTAAAAAGCTAACTGTATATGACCATCTTCAACTTGGGATGAAGACCTCCGGCCAGGATTCAGACACTGGCCTGTTTTGGACAGTTCCCCACAAAGATGAGCAATGGAATCAATGTAAATTACTATGGAACTTCC